TGTGCGCTCAAAAAACCACACATCAGAAGTTTAAACTGATGTGGCATTAAAATCACTTTCATGATGACGAAGAACTGCAATGTCAAAACCAAACAATGTTTTGTTTGTTGTTGCCATGGTATCCGAGACACAAGCTGTAAAGGCTCCGCCCTCTTCTGGAAAGCAGCAGCTCATTTGCATTTAAAGATACACACACGAAAACAGGCCAAAAAGGGGGCAATTACAGCATGGTTTAATAAATGATCTATGGGGTAATTTGAGCGGAAACTTCAGACATATTCTGTGGACACCTGAGACTTACATCACATCTTGTATAATAGGTCCCTTTTAAATGTTGTGTATTATGACCAATATTTTTTCTTAACCTCTGATTCCCTTGTACAGCAGAATAATAAATAAATATTCCCTCCTGTTGACCCAGTTTCAAACACTTCAGTGTGTGGAGGACTACACTAATAGTCGTACTCGTATTCGTCAAGTATCTTCTCAGTGACATTTCTCAGAGTGAAATGCTGAAGATATATATTCTTATTTTTATAATAACGTGGAAAAACTAGACGCCTTGAAAGCATTTTGTATGTTTGATGATGTCAAAGAGCGGTCACCCTTAAGATACATTAAATTATTTCTCTAAAATGTTCCCCAATTCCTGCTAATGCTATAATTGCTGATTGGAAAAATCTGTTAATTTGATTGTTGGCAGTTATGAAACAAGTTAGCACTTACTTTACTGTGTTATATTACTAATTTGCAACCTTATTATGATTAGCGGCTTGTCTTTCAAGCTTAACTTCTATAAACCCAGGCCGTTTGCTTTGATATTCACAGATTACAGGGATTTAGCTTCCTCCACTTTGCTGGATGTTCTCACAAAGCGCTAAACCAGAATTTGGTGAAGAGGTCGTAGTGGGCTAATCATAAACAAAGTGAAGTGTTTATCGTGCAGATGATAATAAACTGAAGTATTAGTCTAAAGGACACATGCATATTATTATTATTATTGCTGAACTTTTAAGAATCATATTATTTCACCTCAGATCCAGCTTTGTGCCAAAAACAATATTTTTTGCTGTACAAAATGATTCATTGTGGGTTTTTTTTCCCATAACTTTGAGCTTGACAAGGCCAATATGAATGTAAACATAATAAAACACTGATAAGACTTTAAGAAAAACTTACCTCTCTTTGAACCATGTTGTCAAAAAGATGATGTCACTCCCTTAAACTTGATGTCAGAAACATCAAACCATTGGGTTTAAAGGGGAAATTATGGTATAATAGGGTTAAACAGAAGGTGAGGGACAGACCTTGTGTGTGTGTGTATTTTTTTATATTTTTATATATATATACACTACCGTTCAAAAGTTTGGGGTCGGTACGATTTTAAATACTTTTAAAAGAATTCTCTTCTGCTAACCATGGCTGCGCTGATTTGATTAAAAATACAACAAAAATCAGTTATAGTATTAAATATTATTCCAGTGTAAATCAGCTGTTTTCTGTGTGAATATATAGTAAAGTGTAATTTATTCCTGTGATCAAAGCTGAATTTTCAGCATCACCAGTGTCATTGTCTTCAGTGTCAAATGATCCTTCACAAATCAGTATAATATGAGGATTTGATGCTCAAGAAACATTTATTATTATTATCAATGTTGAAACAGTTGTTGGTCTGTCAGTTGTACAGTTTTTTTTTGTTTTGTTTTTAGGATTCTTTGATGAATAGGAAGTTAACATTATAAATGTCTTTACTGTCACTTTCGATCAAATTAATTATTCCTTGATAAATAAAAGTATTGATTTCTTTCCTCCAAAAAATAAAAATAAAATTATCACTGACCCCAAACTTTTGAACGGTAGTGTATATATACTGTATACACACACACACACACACACACACACACACACACACACACACACACACACACACACACACACACACACACACACACACACACAATATTTGTTTTAAGATACATAAAATTATTATTGTACTATAATAACTATTATACATATATCTAAACTTAAAATTAAAATCATAATTTTTAATTTATAAGTTTAGATTAAAAAAAAATATATATATATATATATATATATATATATATATATATATATAACTAAACTTAAAGTTTAAGAGTGATGAAGGGCATGTTGGCTGGTATTTTGATTTTGATTAATTTAAAAATGAAATGTTTTCTAAAAGTCCCTTTGTTTTATTCACTAATTTATCACTAGTACGATGTGGGAATATCTGTAAAACAACATTGTGAAATATATTTGCTTTTCAGGGACTCATATCAGTGTTAACGCACGTCTTTGCCTTGTGTGTCAAAATGTCATTTCTAACTTGGGGTTTAATTAGGCATATAAATAGTTGTATAGAATGTAGGATAAAAGTAGAAATACCTGTTTGTGTTGAAAGCAGTCACTGAAAGCAGTGGCTGGGATTGAACAGACTGGGTCAGACCCTGTGTGTGGGATGCGAGTTATAACAAGAGTGGGTCATTTGAAGCAAATCTTACATAACCCTCTTTTCAGCTTCAGAAAACCAAGAGAGAAGTGCCTGAGTTTTTTTTTTTTTTTTTTTTTTGAATTTATTTTCTCTCAAATGAAAAAAATCCTTTGTGAAGAAAGAAACCCCCGGTTTCACAGACAAGGCTTAAGCTAGTCCCAGACTAAAATGCATGTTTGAGCCGTTTTAAATGAAAGCATTTTGCACTGACAGATCTTAAAATATTTCAGTGCAATTATATTGCATATTATATCAAGATGCACACCAGTAATGTTTTTTTCTATGACATGTTTATAACAGCTACTTAAATGCCCTAATTGAACTAAGGTTGAATCTAAGCTCTGTCTGTGAAACCTATAACCTTGTAAAGATATGTTGTTCATTTCATGAATGGTTTGCTTGTTTCTTATCTTTCAGATTACTCTATGAAGAGCATCATTATTAATATCTCTCATACTTGGGGTTAGTGATTTGAACAAACCTCTAGTCTAACCCAAGAAATGAATACTGTTTTAATTGTATAACTAATCTCACACCATTTGACGTACAGGCATGAATACAATTTTGTAGCTCGGTCAAAAGAGCTGTGCTATTACTTTCTTGGGAATATTGCCATTTAATAAATGGGTGGAAAAATTCCAGATTTACCAACAGCTTGCACCAGCGCAAACCCTCTTTTGGTGTTAAAAACCTACTGTTAGCATTTACTAAAGAAAATTAGGGTTAAAAGGCGTGGACAGGATTATATTTGCGGCTGACCTTATTGCATATGCATTTGTAGGAGTTTATGGGAGAATATTTAAATGAATCCGCAAGGTGATTTACTAAGGTTTGCTCTAGTCAAATCTCAAATTATTGTTTTTTGTGCCATTATTTAACACCCCAAAAAAGCTCGCCTTAAACCAGACACTAATTTGCGCTGCTCTTAGTAGATTGTGTTGGTCATTATGGAAATGATCCGGCTGCGTTTTGTGTTCTTTCATTTGCGTGTCGTCAGTAGATCACTTTCCACTCCCATCTGCACTTTTGTGGGATTGCGCTCTCATGCTAATTTGCCCTGTTTAGTGAATCTGGAAGATTGAAAAAAGGGGTCAGAATAGCATAGAGACTGGCCGGTGTGCTCTTTAACTTGCTGTGGGCCACTCTAAAAAATGCTGGGTTGTTTCAACCCAACTTTGGGTCAAATGTGGACAAACCCAGCCATTGGGTTAATTTTTTTAATTACAATTTTAACCCAACGTTCGGGTTCGTCCATATTTGACCTAAAATTGGGTTAAAACAACCCAGTATTTTTTAGAGTTTAGGCAATGCACGTTTTGCACATGCAAACACCTCTTGCTATTTCTTCAGAAAATGCTAAAAGCCAGTTATTTGTTATAACATTATCTGCAGATATCACCCTCTTTCCCTCAGTGATTTTAATCCTGAGAGTATAGAGCCAAGTCCTCTCGGGCAGATATGTCAGTCGTGCCAGGACAGCGTCTATCTCTTTGAATGGGAAATCGTCAAATTCTCCAAAGCTGTTCACCAAGTTTAAGATTACATTTCATATTGAAATCACCAATGAAATCTGACAACAACTATCTCATATATTTTGTTCAAAACCCTCGAATCATGACCAAAAATGTTCAGGCTGGACCAGCCAATGCTGCAATGACGTTATTAATCAGCGATTGGCTGTTTTATTTAGAAGGCGGGACTTAATCCGGCATATTGCACTTTCTTCCGAGTGCACCGCAAGGTTATTATAGTTTTACATTTTTCATTAGTTTTTATTTTGTTTTGACTTTGTTTTCAAATTCAGTTTAGTTTTAATTAGTTTTTAAAGTGGGTTTGCTAGTTCAGTTTAGTTTTTATTTTTTGAAAATGCTTAGTTTTAGTTTAGTTTTTATTAGTTTTAGTGTTAGCTTTAGTCTTTTTTTGTGATTTGGGTTATTTGTCAGGGGCAAGAATACTTTTTTTACAGTCTATGCGCGTGAGTGACGGAGAGAAGGAGGGAGAGCAGGAAAAGGAAATGCAGCTGAACGAATACGCTGTGTTTTTTAAATAGCGTTAAAAAAATTAATAACGAAACTGTGTTGATTCTGTGGAGCTCCGCCACGAATTAGTCTATGTGTGGGAAACACTGCCAGTCGGAAACGGTATAGTCGGAAATGTCAACTCTGAAATATATAACGTTATTTGCTCTATGAAAGACATTGGCAAACTAACTAAAATAAAATAAAATCACACAGTAAATGTCCTTAGTTTTCGTCTTTGCCAAACACACATTATACAGTTTTAGTTAGTTATCGTTTTTTTTTGTAATGCCTCGTTTTTATTTTTATATCAGTTAACGGCAATGTTTTTTCCCACATAGTTTTCCTTTTTTTGGTGTTTTCGTTAACGATTATAATCTTGGTGCACCGTCTTTGTATATCTAAAGTCTTTGGTACGGCAGTGTCCTGTTCATATGCTGAGGCCATGTTTGTTTATCTTTGTTTTACAGACTAAAATCCCAGGTGTGGGATTCGTGAAGATACATGCGCCTTGGGAAGTTCTCTGTCGAGAAGCTGAGTTTATGAAGCTCAAAATGCCAACAATAAAGGTATTTGTTCTTTAATCTTATAAAGTGACCGGTAATACAATCTGTGTACTACTCTATACACACGTGACGTACCTGTACACTGATGTGCTGTCATGTCATTTTCAGAAATATGAAGTCAGTCATGGAAGCGGCATTGCGGAGAAGGTCAACATGTTTATGCAGAAAGTCACTGCACCCTTGCAACCTAAAGTTGTGGACAGCCGAACGGATAATGAGAAACACCTCTCCTACGCGTTCTCAAGAGAAAAACGGCATCTGTAAGTCTGTGGTCATTCACGGCCATGCTAAGATCATGTTTAGGGAGATTTCTGACCTCAGGTGTTGTACATGATCTTTTCCTCACAGACTTGAATGACTGAAAATCATGATTTTGCCAAATGTTTTTTTTTTTTTTTTTTTTTTTACTTTAGCCTCTTAACCTCCATTTGCCATTGCATGTTTAAAACAATAATATCTTAGTAAAAACCTAAAGTAATATTGCCAAACTATATATTATTTGAAAGCTTAAAATCTCTAGTTTTCATATTTGGTGGCTGTTATCTAAAATATATTACTGAGGAGCAGAAATTTATCAATTTGCAACAAGAGTATTTCATATTCATTAGGAGTATTTAGGCCTTTATTTTGAAATAACAATAAACATGAAAAATCATGAAAGATTGGTAGAAACCTCAGTTTGTTTTCATGCCATGAGTTCAAAAGATAACACCAAAGCCATTTTATGAGAAAAAAAGGTCTGAAAATGTTTTAAATATAAAGAAAAATGTATGGATTCTCGATTTGTAATGCGGCTGCGAGCTATAACGCTATAACGTAGTCTTTATGCATTTATTAGAGGTTTAATTCAAATCAAATACTGCCAAACCACCCATACTACTTCTGAATAGGATGTCTACTTCATAAATTGTATGAAAATTATGGAAATACATAGTTCAGACCACTCAAAACATGTGAAAATGGAGGCGCCCTTAAATGGGCAGTAATGGAGTCTGGTGTTCACCTAGTGAAAAAGTTGGGTACGGCGCCTGAATAAAATCTTACTGAAAGCTCATTTTTTGAGATATCAACCTAAAATTTGGAATACAACTTGTTTTGACTTTAATTTTCTTGCAGTTTTAGAGTAAAATATATTTTGTAATATATATATTTTATATAAAATATTAATCATTATATTTTTACATTACACAATTTCATAAACTCAAACTTGTATAACTTTTTTTCTGTTTCATTTTTTACAATTTCTAGACTTCTAATATAATCTGGAAAATGTCTTCTTTAAAACAAGACCAGCCATAGGTCTATATCCCAAAGCATTCCTGAATTACAACCATTTAAGTTTGGATAGTGATTTTTATGTCTATGCAAAAAAAGGGGGGTGCCAGTTAACAGGTTAAAAGTTATTAGTCAAAAAGACTTGATTATTAGAAACGTTCACATTTCTGGTCAAGCTACACTAATGCAGGGGTTAAAGTGAAACAAATTCCTGAGCCTGAAATTTTTTAGGGGGGTGGGGGCAGATGAACTTATCTTCAATGGCACCATTTATTATTAAAATGTATTACAGCTGTATCTTAATGCCGTCTTTTTATGAATGAAAGCCCGTTTCACTCATATTATATCTACTGATGTCTTGATAAAAATAATTTTCCCCCCAATTTTAAACATTAGGCTTCAAAAAATATAAAAACCTTTAATTTAAGTGAACTTAAAACAATCCTCACTTAAACCCATAATCAATGTCATTTACCTGTACCATACAGAAATTGAATAAGGTTATAAAACAGTCCGCACTGCATACACTTTAAATGAAATATAGATTAATCCTTATCAAAGCTACAAGCGTTCTTTAGTCGGGGGCAGTTAGTAATTTTCTCTGTTCTTTAGGTTAACTTTACAGACAGACAGAATTAATGGCTCCTGTCACTTTAAGTAAGATCTGCCGCTGCTGACAGGATCTCACGCATCTCATTCTCTCACTACTATTTACTTCCATTTAAGATTGTATTTAACTCATTTAAGACTGTTCTGTGAGGATACTCGACAAAACTGACATTTTGGCATAAATGTGTGTTTTATTGTTCATTCAAACGCGAAAGAGAACTCGACACTGGCGCGCGTCTTTCTGTGCGTCTCGTGTGTGTGTGTGCGCGCGCGCGTGTCAGGAGGACATTCACTGAAAGCGCGTTCTCTTTTGTCTTGTCGCGCATGAGTGGTTTAAAGTATTTGCGTAAATAAGAGCGTGATCATAACCCTAGCTAAAGGATGACAGAAAGAACGGATGCTGCGTTAATTGCTTAAATATTTTAACACGTTAGCTGGACAAAAATGAATCGCATGCGAAAATAATAATTTTTTCCTCACGGCCGCACGGTGCCGGAATACTTTAAGTCCTGTTAATGTTGTGAAATATGAAGGATGCTCTCTAATAATCCTATGAAATGCAGTGTATTGTAAGGAACGGTTCACACATTTTTGCTGTTAACCCCGCCACTGATTTCCGTGTTTTCACTGTTAATACGGTAGGGGGCGCTATTACTTCTGAAAGAGTACAGAATCCCCATGATCGAAACAAATGCGAAGAAGATACAGAAACAAGCGATTGCATATGTAAGCAGATGCATATGTAAAATAATGTGATCATCAACACACTAAACCGCATATAAATCAAAACTGTCTAATGTTACTGAATGAAATGTGACCCAGGACGAGCTACAGGACTGTGAAGCTTTGAGGTGTTGATGGACTCGATCGACTCCATCTGTGTTTTGATCACCGTTCTGAATCTGATCCGGACGTAGTCTTTGACATAAACACGATTTTTGCTCAAAATGTTGCTTTTTTTTTAAGCTTACCCACATTCAAGTGTTGATAAAAAAGGAATGCATGAAGCTAGAATAAGATTTGTTGTTGTTTCAAAAACAGAAGGTCTGTTCTTTCTTTTGATTTATTGCATATTCATACAACAAAATATTCTGGGGGCTGCAAAAGACGCAAGTAAAGCGGTTAAAGATGTCCGTATAGCTTGTGTTTACATTGAAAAACAATGGAAAAGTAGCACAGTGGAATGGACAAATGGAAAAATGCATTCTGTGTGAACGACCCCTAAATGTGCTTCAGTTTTACAGTCCCACGGTATGTTATTGCATTTAAAGTTGAATAGAGAGGCACAAAACATTGAATGAAATGACTTTTGGTCTCTTTTCACAGCTTTGATTTATCAGACAGGAACTCCTTCTTCAACAGCAAAACCAGGAGCTCAATAGTAAGTACCAGTCTCTTGTGAAAAGGCCTTCCAGTCAGTGACGATTTAAGACCTGATGTCTTTTATCCCCTGATTTGATTAGCAAAGGGCCTTTGTGTCTCCACAGCAAAATGTCAATGACGTCAAAGTTGCTCTTTTTGTGGACGATAATTTGTCACTTGATCTGTCAGCTGCCTCTTAAAGTGTTGTTTAACCTCAATGATTTTTGGCAGCAGTATTTATTTATTTTTGCTCTCAAAGGTATCATATGATATTAACTTAAGAAATTTGGTCGTCTCACATTTTGTTACATTGGCTTGACAAAGCCAACATACTGATCTACTATTTCTACTATAATATCTGCAATTTTAAAACGTTAGAAATGTTTGAAAAACGCTAGCAATGTGTTAAATCATGCTTGCATCATGCTAACACAATGTAAAGTCATGCTAACATGTTAAATCATGCTAGCAATGTGTTAATTCATGTTAGAAATATGCCTGCAATGTTAAATAATGCTAAGGCATGTTAGCAACTGTTAGCAATGTAGTAAACGATGCTAGCAGCATATTAAAACATGCTAGCAATGTGTTCAATCATGTTTGAAACCTGCTAGCAATGTGTTAAATGATGTAAACATCATGTTAAAACATGCTAGCAATGTGTTCAATCATGTTTGAAACCTGCTAGCAATGTGTTAAATGATGTAAACATCATGTTAAAACATGCTAGCAATGTGTTCAATCATGTTTGAAACTTGCTAGCAATGTGTTAAGTGATGTAAACATCATGTTAAAACATGATAGCAATGTGATAAATCTAGCTAACAACATGCTAGCACCATACTAAGTCATGTTAACGTGTTGTAACATGTTGCTAACATGATTTACATTTACAATTAAATGATTAAATGTAAATCAAGTTAGCAACATGTTAAAACATGTCAGCAATACGCTAATTCATGGTACAAACATGCAACGTGCTTAATCATGCTAAAGCATGTTAGCAACTTGGTAAAACCAAAAACTTATTTTTGTTAAAATAAGTTAGCAACATGTTAAAACATGTTAGCAATGTGCTAGAACATGTTAACATTTATCTTGATGTTAAAATTTCATTTTGACATTTTAGTGTTATTGATTTCTGAGTAAAATCTTCAAACTTAAACTTATTTCAAACTTTCAGACAAGGCTTTGTCAAGCCAACATCACAGTTTGTCATCAAACTTTACTCATCTAGTTGTAATTTTAGTTAAATTTCGAGTTTAATATCACCAATCAGGAATACTTTTTCGAATCATCTTTATAAACCTATTTATTAATCATCAACAGGTGTATGAAATTTTAAAACGAACAAAATGCACACGGGCTAAGTATATCATGGGTAAGTTTCATCTTTTTATTACCTCTGCTTGACAAACTATTGCAAAATCCACCATGTTGTTTGTTGAAATGTTATGAAAAATCACTTTAACTTAGTTCTTTTCATGCTACATGTACTATAGTAAATTGTGCCTAATTACAATTAACCCTGAACCTTAATTGTATAATAAAATTGTAACAAGGAAATAAATTGTAACCAATTCAACTGGTCCATATTGTTATTTTGCAATTGAAGCACCTAGTCTACAATTAAGGTAATTAAATTACGTCATACCTGTTCGTTCTTTGATTTCGCTTGAAGTATAACGGTACCAGAATGTCAACAACACAACACGGTCTTCAAAACCTTCCCATAATATCCGAGGACAGTGATTGGTTGATTGTGCTGTACTCTGTGTTTAAGAAAGCTCACGTGAAGCGCTTGTGTTTCATGTGGACAGGAATCAGCAGTCTCCTCGGCAGTGGCGTTTACACAGAGGCCTACCCTTTACACGATGTGAGTCACGTCATGTTTTACTCGCTTTTTTTACATCTTTCCAATTCTCTTCAGTTGATTTGTACTATTTCTTGTCAGTTAATTTATTGATTTTAATTACAGGGAGATATTGACAGCGTACATGCTGAAACAAATGACAGAAAGGTAAAAGATATTTTAAATATACTAGAATACATACTCAACTCTTGGCCTTGTGTTTTAATCTCTCAGTGATTCTTGCAACAAAACATGTTCAGAACATTTACCTGCCATTAGCTTTTAAAATGGCAACATTTCATATGCAAATTAAATAATATTGAGTAATATATATATATATATTACTCAATATTATTTAAGGTTTTTTTTAAGTAACAAATGTTTTTTAATGGTTTCAGTTTAAAACTATAATAACCCTGATTTTATATATATATGAAATGATTTTATTCTATAACCTGTGAGACATCTCAAGTTTTAAAATTTTGCACAATAACCTAAAACACTTCAAGCTTCCTTTGGAGATTATCAAGCCGTTATTCAGAGGATTTGCATGGCCCTAATGGAGCCACCAGTTTCCAAGATACAGCCCAGAATAATCAATAGGCTATAAAAAATAATGAGTTCTTCCATGTTGGTCTACTTTCCCATCGGTGGCGGGAATTAGAGATGCTACAGTATCATTGCATCTGTTCTCTAAAACTGGTATCACACATTTATTTTCATCCTTTCTTTCACCTGTGTAGACTGTTTTATGGGATGCTCTAAAAATCTGGACATTGAATCTCATATTGACCACTTGATGTAATTAAACACCATAAATGGGCTCCAGGATCTAGACCTATAGCTTTAATAGCGCAGACCTGGTGAGACTCTGGACTCGCCTGCAGAAAAACCTCCAATAACTGTCAGGTCACCAAGGCAACAGGATCATTTCCCACTTCAGCCATCTGTGATCCGCACTCCTGCAGGCGCACTGTTGAGTCTTAGTGGGCAGTGGAGCCCTTCTCTCTCTAAATAATTCATCACCGATGTTTTCAAGAACTGAAAAAGAGTAAATATTTCAGTTTTTTCACAACAAACCATGAGGTCCCTTGGAGAGAGTTGGAGTTTTGGGGCTTGTTGTGTGTTGATGACACACTGTATGTTATGGTGCGTTCAAGTCATCTTGTAAAGATCGTATTTACGAGTTGAACGCACATGAACACAGTGTTGTAAATACGAATGGGAAGCTCGGGATTTTCTTTAAAGCAGCACTAGGTTACTTTTCAACCTTCATAATATATTTCCAAGTCTCTTGTGATGGTACATCGACTTACAATAGGTTGATTGACACGTCTGCCATATAGCCTGACGGGGTCTGTAGCGTTTTTAATCGTACTTTTAAACTTCGGGTTTCGGGTAGTAACCGGCGAACAAAGAGAACTACAAAATTCGACTGCTTTACGGCATATACGTCACTTCCACCACCACCCCCACTTCCTTAAAATCGGACGTGCGAGCCAAATGTTATAGTCATGGCCGAAGCAGCACAGAAAAACAAGAAAGCAAAGGTTTTATCGGAGCAAAGCAAAAAGAGAAAGTGATCGCGTTAAAGGCAGAACGAGGATCAACATTGGGCCAGCATTTTCTCGCTGGCGTGAGCTGAAGGAGGAGGAGGGGTGCCCGACCGATGGGGACTTGGCAAAAAAAAAAAAATCAAATAAAAGCCTGTGTCTAAACGGCGTGCACAAGTTTGGTAGGGTCTACATTCTTGCAAGTAAACACATAAGATGTACAAAATCATAGTTTAGGATACCTAACATGTCTGTGATATTTGTTTATTTGTCTTGCCTCAAGCTATAATGCAAATCGATTTGTTAAATTTGCAGATTCATTTATGGTAGCTTGATATTATAATATTGACGATATATGGTTATTATCAACCACTCAAACATTGCATTGAAGTATCATATAGATCCAGTAAAACGGTAACCAATAGACTAGGCTACTATAATGACGCTGGCTTGTAAACGTGATCATCGCGATCATTTCTCGTTAGAAAAAAAATAAAACCCATGAAATTATATTCATATGACATGCTGAAATATATGCAAATATATGTACCTGGGATGAAGATATTTCACACGCGACGCAAGCAGAACACCTGCATACGACCTCCTCCTACAGTGTTCAGGGCTATCATGGTTGTCAACAAATGCACGTGCATGTAGGATGACAGAGTTTACGACAGTAGTAGAGGTCTAGAGGACAATACTGTTTCCCAACTGTAGGGGGACCCCACCCCGAGAGCAAAAGTTCCCTGGTGTTACTTTAAAGGGTTAGTTCACCCAAAAATGAAAATTGTCATTAATGACTCTCCCTCATGTCGTCCCAAGCCCGTAAGACCTCCGTTCATCTTCGTAACACAGTTTAAGATATTTTAGATTTAGTCCGAGAGCTTTCTGTCCCTCCATTGGAAATGTATGTACGGTATACTGTCCTTGTCCAGAAAGGAAATAAAGACATCATCAAAGTAGTCCATGTGACATCAGTGGGTTAGTTAGAATGTTTTGAAGCATCGAAAATACATTTTGGTCCAAAAATAACAAAAACTAGGACTTTATTCAGCATTGTATTGTCTTCCGGTTCTGTTGTGGATCCGCGTTCAGTGCCGCCGCTGACGTAAGACGCTGCTGACGTGTGTCTGGTGTGTGTGTGTGTGTGTGTGTGTATTCTGGTTCTGTTGTGGATCCGCGTTCAGTGCCGCCGCTGACGTAAGACGCTGCTGACGTGTGTCTGGTGTGTGTGTGTGTGTGTGTGTGTGTGTGTGTGTGTGTATTCTGGTTCTGTTGTGGATCCGCGTTCAGTGCCGCCGCTGACGTAAGACGCCGCTGACGTGTGTCTGGTGTGTGTGTGTGTGTGTGTGTGTGTGACGTAAGACGCTGCTGACGTGTGTCTGGTGTGTGTGTGTGTGTGTGTGTGTATTCTGGTTCTGTTGTGGATCCGCGTTCAGTGCCGCCGCTGACGTAAGACGCTGCTGACGTGTGTCTGGTGTGTGTGTGTATTCTGGTTCTGTTGTGGATCCGCGTTCAGTGCCGCCGCTGACGTAAGACGCCGCTGACGTGTGTCTGGTGTGTGTTTGTGTGTGTGTGTGTGACGTAAGACGCTGCTGACGTGTGTCTGGTGTGTGTTTGTGTGTGTGTGTGTGACGTAAGACGCTGCTGACGTGTGTCTGGTGTGTGTTTGTGTGTGTGTGTGTGACGTAAGACGCTGCTGACGTGTGTCTGGTGCGCCTGAGCTTCGTTCACAGTCTGAGGGAGACGCACACTGGAAACAAAACAATCTTCCCAAACATGTCTAAGGATTTCCACACAGAGGAAGACTTTATGACCATATTTATTTAATCCCGAATACACGGACGCACCAGACACACGTCAGCAGCGTCTTACGTCAGCGGCGGCACTGAACGCGGATCCACAACAGAACCGGAAGACAATACAATGCTGAATAAAGTCCTAGTTTTTGTTATTTTTGGACCAAAATGTATTTTCGATGCTTCAAAACATTCTAACTAACCCACTGATGTCACATGGACTACTTTGATGACGTCTTTATTTCCTTTCTGGACAAGGACAGTACACCGTACATACATTTACAATGGAGGGACAGAAAATGACATAATATTCATTTTTGGGTGAACTAACCCTTTAAGACTTGATCTTCACGCATTGTGTGCGTGTCAGTGAGAAACATGGGAGACTACCACAATACTTAAAGGAATTTAGCAGTGATAATGTCAGGCTTTTCTATTTAGATCAAAGTAAGCTAATTGCCTGCACAGAATATGATGGCATTATAACATAACAATATAATATGTGGTAACACTTTATTTTAAGGTGCTTGTAATAAGCAGTAATTAACAGTTAATAAGACACTTATAAGACCTTATAAGATGCATATAAGATGCATATAAGCATTAACTAATTATAATAAATAAATTCAATTAAAAAATAAATATCTCAAGTATCAATACATTGCACTTTTAGAACAGCCGAACAAACATAAATGGTAACACAAACTCCCAGTCCCTTAAAAATGTACCTTCCCAAGAGGGAGTAGTTTCCCTGATCTCTTCAGGGCCTGGACCTTTAATTAACCCTTATATGAAGTAGTTAATGCTTATATGCATCTTATATGCATCTTATAAGGTCTTATAAGTGTCGTATTAACTGTTAATTACTGCTTATTACAAGCACCTTAAAATAAAGTGTTACCTCATATGTTTGTCCAATCAGTGACACCGCAAATAAGATTGCTAACCCAGAGTTTAGGAATGTACAGTGTGAAACGGCAGCTTATGTATAGCCAGGATTAATTGTTAACCCCGGGTACTTATGATCAGTGTGAAACGTGAATCAAGATAACCCAGGATTGCGATTAATCTGGGTTTAGAATGACCCAGGGTTAACTAGTTCAAGTGTGAAAAGCCCTATGTACTTTCTTTCATCTTCATAACACAAATGATGATATTTCTAATATTCTCTCATCATTTCTGTCCCTCCATTGAAAGTCCTTGCAACCAAACCGTTCACAAAGTACAAAATGACATTATAAAAGCAATCCATAATCAAGCGTCTTCTAGAGGCGTGATAATTGCTTTATATTATCAATTCAGGCTTTTATTCACATATAAACATTGATAAATGCACATACAACATAGAGCTCATTAAATATGGTAAACAGGGAAGCTCAAATGTGTGTACTTGATGCATGAGAACCAATGTTACACACAAACACGTTCGAGCATTTGTGGGAAACTTTGATGCTTCGATGTAACAACTACAAAATCTCACATGTTTATTACACATAAAAAAAAAAATATTTAATATATACGCTACTGGGAAAATGGCCAGTAGCTCCATTTGTTGATCCATCTGTGAATTGATATTACTGTAATATTTCTTAAAATAACGTGCATATCAAGTTTAGGTTTTTTTTTTTTGTACATTTTTACATTGCTAGTATTTTATTTGTTGCCACTGGTGAACCATTAGGCAAATCCTCTGTAAAAAAAAAAACACACACACAATAACAAATCAATGTACTAATGGTTGCATGCATGGGGGTGTAATGTATATTTGATTGAGTGATAACCGCTTGTTCGCTTAGTAATTATTCCACCCATTTCCGCAATTTTGAGGCGATTTGTGGATGTATTGTAAACGTGATAGGCAGGCACTTTTTGACTGTATTTTGCTATTCTTTCCCACACATGCTTTAAAACCTCAATGTGAACTCGACAAAGTTCTCAAGGGAAACCAAACACACCGTTTCTGCTTCTTTATCCACGGTTGTCGCTGTTGGATGTGTTATTAGTAGGTTATTTGTCATATAATCTTAATGTTGACGTACTAACCTAATGTTGACATGTTTACATTATATAATTATAACATTACATGCCTGCAGGCACACCGAATCGAAGTCATTACATTGAGAAATTACTAACATGATGGTAGAGACTGGCTTCATTTGTCCTTTTCATCGGCTGTCACTGGATCAATCAGTTATTTTGCCATTTCCATTAAACCTCTAAGACGTTGCACTCACTGTATTTCAGACACGCTGCATGTATCATATTCCAGAATGTATGTAATTTTAGTTCTGTCTTTGCAGATCTTGTATGAAGAGTGGGCGAGTTACAGCATATTTTACAAGTACCAGCCCATCGGACTTATCAGGTATTATCCTGATGCTGAATGCTGCCAGAGACCGGTTTGCCCGGGTGTTATGAAGCAAGAGGAGAGATTTTAGATATGCATTGTACTGATACTGTATGCATTAATCAGATTATCAAAAGTCCTATTCAGACAGGGTTTGTTTAAAGGACACACTCGGTAACGTTAATCATGATTTCGTTAATCAGCGATGTCTGAAGAAATGACCAAAATGGGTGTGTTTACTGGACTAATGTACCGCCGTTGTCGTGCCTATGACACTCATTTTTCTTTCTGGATCTATTCATTTATTTGAAAAAAAAAATTTGATAAAAAAATGCAATTAATACATTAGGGCTGGGTATTGACACAAATTTCGCAATTCGATTCGATTTCAATTCACAAGCTTGCAATTCGATTCAATATTGATTATTTTGGATATCAGGTACAATACATGGCAAATTTTCTCAAGGAAAACAAATCTCTTAACTAATGCTGTAAACTATGGGAGTCAGTTGTAGCCTACTAGGCTTCATTAGCCTACTATAATATTGAAGGTAAAAATTAACTGATTTGTAGCTATACAAACATTTAAATTACACTTTTATTTATTTTTATAATAATAAAGTTATATGAAATATAAACATTTAAATGGTGGCTGTCATAAAAATTTGTGTTTTTTTAATTTATAACATTAAAAATTATAATGAATATGTAATATGGTGCATATATGCTCCTCTTTAGAGTTATTTTTTCTAGCTGACTAACGAGTTTATGGTCACATGGTTTTTCTGAGGTAAATGTGACGTTACATGACATTGTTTACAAGTTGTTTTACTGACGTCTTTCCACGGTTGAAACACTGATTGAGCGATTCCATGTGACATGATACGGATTTCGATAAGTTGTACTCTATCTTTTAACACACTTTCAGACGTTCATTCATGTTTATTTGGCGCTGTAACTGGTATTATTAAGGCAGAAGAGGAGATCATGTGCACTCCGCGCTGCTGCTTCTCTTGAGCTGAGCTGAGCCAGAGCGATCTCACGCCACAGCGCCAAAACGCTATTTATGTTTTTGAATTTCGTAAGAAAATGGACGTAATTTGAGACTTTATTTAGTATCAATAGTAACAAAGCACGAAGATTATTGCGATTTATTGGATGGGATGCGCGCTACAATGTTCCATTCATTCATCAAATGAAAACAGGATGACTAATCGATTCTTGAGATTTAAGAATCGATATGGGTTCGTAAAAATGAGAATCGATTAATATGCGAAACTTTGCGTCTTCTTGGGCTTGACTATTTAAATAGGGAAGGCTTAAAAACCCGAGCAAATGATAAACTTTTAAACAGTTTCGTCAACTATCCCAAGCGACAGTCGGGCAGTCCTTATTGTCCAGTTCTGAAGAGGATGTATTCTTTCTGATGTTTACTAGATAGTAATTTTAACTTCATTTGTTTTACTTCACTGCCCTAATTGCTCTTCTTTATTCTCTCTCAGGAAGTATTTTGGTGAGAAAGTGGGCCTGTACTTTGCCTGGCTGGGTGTGTATACTCAGATGCTAATCCCAGCAGCGGTTGTGGGTGTTATCGTGTTCCTGTACGGCTGCGCCACGGTGGACGACAACATTCCCAGGTCAACTTTATGTCATTAATGTGATGGTTTATTTGGATTTTTTTTGTACACAATGCGCTAACTAGCATTTGACCCCTCCCTAAACCACTGACAGCTTTGTACATACTTTTTCTGCCTATTAGTTTGTCACATATTTTGACTGACACATTCTTATCCGTGTCATGGAGTTTAAACACATTCCACTGTCACTGGAAACAAGTCTCAACAATGTCTCCGGACAGCAATGTGTACTCTTTTGCAATGGCTTTGAAATTTGCGGGAAGAAGAATATGCCTAGGCGTTTATGAAAGAAACCACTGCTGCACTTTGCAAGAAAAACGGCTGGATGCTGAAGTGCGTTGCAATTAGGGAGTTTAGAGTGGGTTTGAAATGCTGCGACTGTAATGGGCTGTAATGTAGTGTATAATGAGAGTGACTCAGTGTTCGCCGGCTGTCTCACGACGACATTCATTAATTCCACAGATGCCACTGCTGAAAACAAGCTGTTCCCAAACCTAGTGCGATGCCTACCTAGGCATCATTTTAAAGCTGCAGTCCGTAGCTTTTTTGGGGTTTAAAATGATCCAAAATACATATTTGAGAAAATACATAACCAGCCAGTGTTCAAAACTCTCTGCTTGCCGTAGCTCGATTCAAAGCGGTAAGCTTGTATTAATGTTTTTAATTCCAGTGGTACTGGTGGATTTCCGCGGGAGATTCGAGCATGTCTTTGCGTCATTACGTCACATCTGTACACACACATCTGCACACACACATCTGTACACATAATGAAGAGTTTCGGCTAGTATAGGCTATATTGCGTGTGAGGATGTTGGAGGTGGAGATTAATAGCCTTTTCTCACAGCACTTGATATAATTAAACCTAGGGACCGTTCGGAATTTATGGAAAGGGCCACCGGAGGAAAATAGGGGAGGGTCATGTCTTTTTATTCTTTGTTGAGGGGAGGGTCATCCAACTTTTTTTAGTCTATAGGGGAGGGTCACCCAACTTTTGTATTCATCAAAACAGCTAAATTTCAAAGTGGCTTGTTTGGTGCATATTTCTTTCCATGTAGCTACAGCTCTCTCGGTCTCGGCCCCCCATCGCTATCAGATGGGTCTGACCCAACAAAAATCCAGTTTGGCGCTGTCTGACAGTGCGCACGCGCTTCAGTACGCGCTCAGAAAAAGTGCATTAGAACAGAACGCCAATGAAATGTTTACCCGGCAAAGCTTTAAAGCACGAGCAAATAACGAACTTTGGGGATTGCGAATAAGTGCAGTGTCCTGTGAGTGCTAGTCTACCGCTGCATTAACATGTGATGTGAATGTACGTCGAGTTTTACAGTAATGGGACTGAGGCGCCACAACTGCAGCTGATGTGCGCTGTAGCACGATACTATTTTAGTTTCCATTCTTATTGTGTTTCCACAACAATGTTAGTGAGCAAATCTACTGAAATTGCCACAATAACAGTGGAGTGTGATGTGTTGGACATAGGGCTACCACATTTTTAAATTACTATTCGTATTATTTGAAGTTAACATAATAAAATACGTAGACCTATACACCAAAAAAACTTGTTGAGGATAAATTCTTTAAAATTGGGCAATTCCAGCGTTTTGGACGTGACATTTGCAGTCAAAACTTGAAATATAAATTCTCAGAAAATGCATTTAATACTGAAACGTCTGTTTATATATTCATACTCCCAGGCGGGCTTACACGGTGCGATTTTTTGCTGTTTATACGAGCTCGCAGATTTTTTTCACTCGGGAGAAATCGCGTGGAAATCGGTTGTGCTCGCATGTTGCGGCTCGTGTCGTGTGCTAGGAAGATACGAGCCGAGCCGAACCTCTCGACCTCACGATAATTTTTAAACATGTCTAAAAGGTTCGGGAGCTGTAGGCTTGAATTCGTGAGGTGTGTGCGCTGTGCAGTTGAATGAGCCGATTTGTCGATCTATCTGAATTTGACCAACCAGGAGCTGAAGAAATCCACAGAAGAAAGACAAAAATGGCAGCGCGTGAATTTGGACTATTGAAAGGGAACCCTACTACTTTACTATGATTTTAGTATCATATTGATTAATAAATGTACGCACAATTATCAGTGAACTTGATAAATGTTGCAGATATGTTTTACTATGCACAAACAAATACCTTTCAACTTGTGTGCAAAATTCTGAGTTAAATGAATGTGCAGCAATATGTACAAATAGAGTCTGTAGCCTATGTGTTGTAGCCATAATAAGCGCATTTAGTTTCATATTTATTATAATGTTTTTTTCCATATGTTTATTATGAAAAGTATAGCCTATAGGCCTACGCAATATATCGGGAGACATGGCCAGACATGATTTTGACCATTTCATTAAGTGTTGTTTTGTAGAAAGCTTTTCTTTAAAGTGAATTTCGTTTTGTATAAATTGTATCTTAATTTTAATAAATTTTTCATCAACCAATTACCTGGATTTAATTAATAATTGTTGCATGCAGCACACATATGTCGAAATAAGACATAACCACAACAATCATCGAATTGTCCTGGTTTGAGACTGTTAATAACACAAAATATTATTTTTATTTTTTTCGTGTTCGCATTTATGAGGGAAATTTTTTTTACTGACGTGACAGTTCTCCGTTACGGACATGACCGCTCTGAAAGTGACTTTAAAACTTTTACAGATAAATATATAGAAAGCTTGACATGTCTACTTTTTAAGAGAATAATTCAAAACGAAAGAAAACAGACTACAGACTCTGCTTCTGTAATCCGTAAATGTGCATTTCTCTCTGGCGAGTTCACTAGGCTACTGCGAAGATCGCGAGTCAGCATCATCACCTTTATATTTGCAGCCACACTGACAAAGACTTGTTTATTAATAAACAATTAAAATGTCTCCTTGAAATTATTCATAATCATTACTTTTGCCGGTTCTTTGTGGCAGCTTTAAGATACTGTATTGGCAGCGCCACCCTACATTTTACATGAAAGCATCACCACTGCATCAGCACCGAAAACATGATTTTTTTTAAAATTATTTTTATTTTTTTCAAATCAAAAATCGTGATACGAACCGAATTGTAGGTTTGGTCTATCGGATTCGTTACAGCCGCAAGATGAGAAAGCAGGAGTTTAGTCGTTTAAATGGCTATCTGAACATCTTTGCCAAAACCAGTTCAAAAGTAATTAATAAATTATCGGGGAGGGTCATGCCTTTTTTCACAATCATTTTGGAGGGTCATAGAAAAAATTATTGCTGGCGAAGGGAGGGTCAAGTCTTTTTTGACTACAGATCTCAAATCTCCTCCGGTGGCCCCTTAAATAAATAACGAACAGTCCCTTATCAATTTGATGGCGGATCCAGAAAGGTTCAAACGACGATCACTGGCAACTGGAGATTCACCCGCTGTAAAATGCAAAAGACTTCGTTCAGACTTCGGAGTGGCTACAGAAAAAAAGAAACTGCAACCGGACCCATGCGAAAATAAGGATACATATCGGAAGGACATTACATGTAGTCACGCAATGCTGACGTTGTTAACATTAACAATTTGAGAACAAAGTAAATTTGCTTGGTTTTGCGTGATATGGTAAGAGATTGTTAGCTTTAATCAGCGCGATTTACTGCAATGTCAGAACCAGAACAAAAGTGGATGTTACTTACTAGTTCAGATGACATTTTCCGGTGAAAATTATTATGTTGGTCATACTTCCAAAAAGAATAATCTGTGATTCTGAATGCCAGTATCCACACTGGCGCGGTGACTGACAGCTGCACACTCTCCTCAAACATTGTGTTCATCCGCGCAGTGTCGTGTCGAAGTACAACTCACGTTAAAGGGATACTCCACTTTTTTTGGAAATAGGCTCATTTTACAACTCCCCCAGAGTTAAACTGTTGAGTTTTACCGTTTTTGAATCCATTCAGCCGATCTCCGGTTCTGGCGGTACCACTTTTAGCATAGCTTAGCATACATCATTGAAGTGGACAAGACCATTAGCATTTCTCAAAAAAAAATGACCAAAGAGTTTCGATATTTTTCCTATTTAAAAGTTGACTCTTCTGTAGTTACATCGTGCCTATTTTCAGGCGCTGCGTCATATCATTTCGCCTGCTGCTCTCATGGTACGGCAGTAAAGTTTCTTGATTATTACGCAGGAATGAGAGTATAGTTCCTAGCCATATCAGCCTAGAAAATCGCAACTTTACATTTTCCGTCGGTCTTAGTCCACGATGTAACTACAGAAGAGTCAAGTTTTAAATAGGAAAAATATCGAAACTCTTTGGTCATTTTTTTTTTGAGAAATGCTAATGGTCTTGTCCACTTCAATGATGTATGCTAAGCTATGCTAAAAGTGGTACCGTCAGAACCGGAGATCGGCTGAATGGATTCAAAAACGGTAAAACTCAACAGTTTAACTCTGGGGGAGTTGTAAAATGAGCCTATTTCCAAAAAAAGTGGAGTATCCCTTTAAGCTGATAATTCCGCGAATGACTGCAATTGCAGATTTCGAACAGAGATGGCGACAAAGAGGAAAAACGCCGGAATGCAGCTTTAAGCATCAAAGATGTACAAAACAGTTGTATTTGTGTGTGTGTGGGTAATAAATTGGGTAATACATTTTCTCTCTATTGACTAATTTTTGTGTGTGTGTATATACAACCCCATTTCCAGAAAATATTGGGACATTTTGTAAAATAAAGTAAAATCAAGAACCCCACGATTTGTTAATTCTCCTTAACTTTTATTTAACTGACAAAAGTACAAAGTAAAGAGTACTGACCAACTTTTGATCACTAAACAAATTTGGATTTTGATGGCTGCAACACACTCCAACATTTGGGACATGTTTCTCACTGTGTCACATCACCTTTCCTTTTAACTCTTTCTCTGCCATTGACAGACATTTCCGTCATTTATGAGTCAACGCTTCTCCTTAATTTTTTTTTTAAATGATTGATTTTAGTTTTTATTGTTTTATTTGTAATTTATTTAGACATTCTCATATTATATTACCATAATTATGTGGATATTACCCAAGATACAGTAATGGCTAAAAGTGTTTTCTGGAGGGGATATTTGTTTTTAATGAGCCTAAACCATCAAAATATGAGAGAAAGTTTTATATTTTTTAAATATTTTAAATATGAAGGAAGAACAAAACTTGTAACTTGGTTAAGGTATTGATCTGACAAAACTGTTTTGCAAAAAAAAGGCAAACTACAGCTACAGGTTTTATTTTACTATGCAAAAAACAATGCATAGAAAAACTAAAAGCTCACATGAAAAAGCAAACATTGATTACAACATTATCAGTCATTAATGTTGTGTTGGTTCTCTCTTGTTCATAATTTCTTTGGGTCACACTTTAGCTTAGGGTCCAATTCTCACTATTAACTACGACTTATGCCTCTCCTAATTACTGCTTATTAATATGAATAAATGATGCATTTATAATACTTAGTAAAGTAGTTGTTAAGTTTAGGATTAAGGGATGTAGAATATGTTCATGCAGAATTAGGCATTAATATGTGCTTTATAAGTACTAATAAACAGCCAATGTCCCTTGTAAAATGCATGCTAATAATCAACTAGTTATTAGGGAGAATTGAACCCTAAACTAAAGTGTTACCTTTCTTTCTATGACAGCATGGCTAAAAAAAATTTCATTGCATTATTATAACCATTGACACCAAGCACAACTATGCAATATGCTCACAATATCTTTAACACAATTTGAAAAATATTTAATAATAAAGGATGAAAATGTCAATTTTCCAAACAGTCGTCACTTTTGGCCACTACTGTAGTGTTTTATGCTTGTTAGAGTGTCATGTATAGAGCCCAACATGCAGAAGCCAAACTCTAATTGGAATCAATTGAGTTTCCAGTGCTTAATGTGAAGATCACTATTTATACAGGCACACCGTTTCATATTAGTCATTTTGTTGAGGATGCTACCTTAGGAGATACTTTAAAGGATTAGTTCACTTTTAAAAAAACTTTTGCTGATAATTTACTCACCCCCATGTCATCCAAGATGTCCATGTCTTTCTTTCTTCAGTCGAAAAGAAATTAATGTTTTTGATGAAAACATTCCAGGATTTTTCTCCATATAATGCACTTTGCTGGGCACCAAACGGTTCAAGGTCTAAATGACCGTTTCAGTTCAGCTTCAAAGGGCTTTAAACGATACCAGACGATGAATAAGGGTCTTATCTAGCGAAACGATCTGTCATTTCAAAAATAAATTAAAAAGTTAAAGTTTTATAGGCACAAATGCTCGCCTTGCGAACTCTCCTGTTCGAACTCGTTCATCAAAATGAACGAATCTTTTTTCGAGTCATTGACTCGTTCATCAAAATGAACGAATCTTTTTTCGATGAACGAGTTCGAACAGGAGAGTTCGCAAGGCGAGCATTTGTGCCTATAACACTTTAACTTTTTTATTTATTTTTGAAATGACCGATCGTTTCGCTAGATAAGACCCTTATTCATCGTCTGGTATCGTTTAAAGCCCTTTGAAGCTGAACTGAAACGGTCATTTAGACCTTGAACCGTTTGGTGCCCAGCAAAGTGCATTATATGGAGAAAAATCCTGGAATGTTTTCATCAAAAACATTAATTTCTTTTCGACTGAAGAAAGAAAGACATGGACATCTTGGATGACATGGGGGTGAGTAAATTATCAGCAAAAGTTTTTTTTTAAAGTGAACTAATCCTTTAAGCCAAAGTATTTTGGCTCACTACGATTTACAACAGAGATGAAGAATGTAGAATAAAGTATTTCCCTTTTAGACTGAAAGGAAACATTTCTGAAATCAGTTTTTGTGTTGTGTTTACTCAGCATGGAGATCTGCGACGAGAGAAACAACATCACCATGTGCCCAATGTGTGACCGAGCCTGCAGCTACTGGAAACTGGTGTCGGCTTGCGGGACGGCCAGGGCCAGCCACCTGTTCGACAACGCGGCCACCGTCTTCTTCGCCATCTTCATGGCACTGTGGGGTCAGCAGCTCTGCGCTCCTTTCATGTTCACACACACGCTTTCTTGCTGCTGTACACCAACTGTTGTGTCCCTACATATCGAGGGCAGATTTGATCTGGCAAATGTTGGAAGGGATTTGTGCCCTGGTTTTACACTTCTCTTTAATTCCCCCGTACTCATCCCCGCTCAGATGCTGAGCTTCTTACAAAGCTGGTTATTTCAGCAAAAGCCCGAAATTTGCCTTTCCAGTTTTGATCTCCTGCTTTGAAAGGAAAAATGACACCCTATGACAAAGCTACGTGATAACTTGAGTCCACTTTAACCCTCTGGTGCTCCTCACAATGGGGCTAAAAAATGACCGATTATTTTTTTATTACAATTTTTTTAAAATTATTTCAGTTCAATAATGCTTTTTATTTTAGAATTTGTATTTTTAAGGGATTTTATGGTGCTAAATTATATTTATGCAGTTGTTAAAATCCATTTATTACACTTTTTGAGCATTAAATTAAATTTAGCAAGTATATAGCAAGTGCCAAAACCTTTAACAAATTTCGTATCATTCTGATGAAGATAAAAAAAATAAAAAAAAAAAACACTTAAAAGATTTTGGTACAAAATGACAGAAGAGTGAACCAGAAAGTGAATCAAGTGGAAAGAGAAACCAGTTATTTTTGCGTCCATACTGTCGCTGGTCCTGAAAGTGGTCTCAAGTCTCTTTTTAGTCCACTTTAGTTTTTTCAATCCACTTTTCATTCACACTGACCTAAAGTGAAATGCACTTTCGGTTTAGTTCTCATCGAATGAGGTTGTTGTCGGGAGCATTCAAACATTAGCTAAATTTCTGATCCGGACTCCGACCTTTTAAAACGAACACACTATTAAAATACAGATTTCTAAAAAAGGTTTTACAGCCCAATGCTATAGAAGAAACTGGCTTTTTAGAAAAACATCTGTGTACAAGTCCTTTCCAAAGTTATTTCACGAAGAATATGTCACGTGCCTGGATTTATAAACACATAGTTAGTAGTTACATAAACTGACAGAAACAGCGCTGAGCCGATCCGTGTTTCTTACTGTGGGTTTGTTGTTGAAGTTTACCCCTCTGTGTCACACAGCCACCATGTTTATGGAGCACTGGAAGAGAAGGCAAATGAGGCTAAATTACGTCTGGGACATGACCGGCTTTGAAGACACAGAGGTTTGTCACGCACACCCATGTTGACCAAGAAAACTGTAAATATAAGAAATTGGTGTACATGTAGATAAGATAATGATGTGGGTTTATGTATGTTTTGTAGGTGTGTTATATCATTTTCTTGACATGTCTTGTATTATCCTGAGGCTTGGCTGTAAAGAAATAAAGATGTCTTTTTTTATTGATTCAGTGCCATGAAATCAAAAACTGTTTTTCACTACTTTTTTTTTTTTTTTTTGTCCTGTTTTGTATAGGAGAAACAAAAGGTTTGGAATTGGTTCATTCATAGTATTAACCGGATTTATTTCTTTCCTAACCTTACAGTTGCATTTTAGTACTAACAAATTCTTCATATCTTAAAAGTCGTCTTCAAGCATTGTCGTCACATTCTTGCTTGTGTAAAGTATTTCACCGGCACTATCTATCGGTCTGTCGTTGTGGAGGTTTGGGAGACTCCTGTTCTCTCTTCCTCCGGCCTTACAGTTCAAAAGCTGCTCACTTTCCTTTCGGCAGTCACGGTCTTTCTGGGCTTGCCACTGTTTATGTGGATAAAATGAGGAACTAATAAAACCTAAAGCTGCTGATTGTGGAAAGGAATATGTTTTCGTGGTGCTGAGAGCTTTTGGTTTTAAGGATTATACTTTTCACTGAACATCTAATGTGTTGCTATTACCAGAATTTCTGTTCTATTCACTGATCATGCACATGGCTGCTTTTAGGCTCCATAACCAGTTATCTCTTTCCACTTTTTTATTTATTTATTTATTTTTAACTGGTTTAATTCCTGTATTGTTGTACATGTTATGAATTGCTTTCTCTGTTTTCCCCAGAGTCATCATAGAGCAGAGTATGAGTTCCATGTCATGAAGAAGTCCTTGAAGAAAGAGAAATCTCCAAAGGTAGGGCTTTATGAATCTACAGATGACCATTCACCGAAATGGCAATAACTTTCTCAAAAATCCAAGATATAATCTAATTGGCTGGCTTTACACAATTTCTGGGTGTCAGGGTGATTTATATCTCCCCCATAAAACAGGTATTTTCACATTTCAACAAGCTTGTCACAAAGGCACAGTTTGATCTTGTGTGTGTACATATATAAGACCAACTGTGTGTGTGTGTGTGTGTGTGTGTATATAGTTTGTCATTGTTGATCACGAGGCCCCTTGTCCAAGTGGGTAGTTCTTGGCTGGAATAATCTTCAATGTGGACCAGACCATATGCTGATTGAAAAAAAGTGCATTTATTTGTGCTTGGCACAGAACAGGCAGTGCTGCTCTTACAATATTCTGGTCTGTAGACGTATGCATGCCATCCTTGCTGTCATAAGGATGTCTGGATTATTGGGTTTTACGCTCAGTAGATGTTGACCTAGTTGCAGTATAAATGTTATGTGACAGCACAGCTGTAAGGCATGTCTAAGGGCTTGTTTTGCTCTGCTTTGCTTGACCCTATCTGTCCCTTCGCAGGCCATAGCACGTTGGAGGAATGCTTGCTTAAGCTCCTGTTGCTAGATGTATGTGTTAAGGTGTATGTTTTTAACTCACATTTGACAATTCATGTCTTGTTCTAGAGAGGAAATGTGAAGCTGACATGCACAGACAGAATGCCAGCTTACATGACCATTATCGTCATGATGGTTTTTTTGGTAAGACCTGATTAATTTATTAGATTTATTGTGGTACAATGCTTTATTCTTTTGCAATGAATTGAATTATGCTAGACTTATTTAGCAGTTAAAGTACTTTTTGTTCAACAACCAGTCAATTTATTTTATATATGGGTGGCCATCATGCTGGAATCACATGAACAGCCGAATACAACTCACTTGATCTCACGGTGGGCCCAAATCCATTACATTTTTAAAACAGTAATATCCTATACTAAACCTAAACCAATCTTGACAAACTATATATCATTTGAAAGCTTACAATCTCTAGTTTTTGGTGATTGATTTTCAAAATAAATTACAGAGGAGCCATAATTTATCAATTAGCAACAAGAATATTTTCATACTCCTAAAGCGTGTTCAGACTTTTATTTTGAAATAGTGATGAACATGAAAAATCATGAAAGAAGGGTAGAAACCTCAGTTTGTTTTCATGCCAAGAGTTCAAAAGATAGCATCCATTCAATTATTTTAGAAAAAAAGGTCTGACATTTTTTTAAATATAAAGAAAAAAATATATAGATTCACCATTTGTGATGTGGCAGCGAGCTATAACGCACATACTTGTTATTTTTATTTGTTTCTTAGAGGTTGAATTCTATCAAAATCTGCCAAACTTCTCATATTGCTTCTGAATAGGATGTCTACTTCATAAATTGTATGAAAATTGTGCAAATAATGGTTCATATCACTCAAAACACATATTATGGAAATGGAGGCGCCCTTATAAGGGCAGTAATGGAGTCTGGTTGTGACCTAGTGAAAAAGTTTGGTACTGCGCCCAAACAAAATCTCACTGAAAGCTCATTTTTTTGAGATATCAACCTAAAATTTGAAACACAACTTGTTCAGATTTTTGGCTTTGTTTTTTGTTGTTGTTGCAGTTTTAGTCGTCCAGGTTTTGAAAATATATATTTTATATAAAATATGAATCATTAAATATTTTACATTGTACATTTTCATAAACTCAAACTTCTATTACTTTTTTTCCGTTTCACTTTCTTAATTTATTTCACTTCTTTAAAAATCTGGCAAATGTCTTCTTTAAAACTAGACCAATCTTACGTCTGTATTCCAAAGCATTCTTGAATTACAACCATTTAAGTTCGAAATGTGCATTTTCATGTATATTCAAAAAAAGGGGGGTGACAGTTAACAGGTTAAGCCCCCTATTATCAGACATTTTCGTTGCAGAATAATGTGTGAAGTGTGTTTGGTGTTGGAAACCAAAAACATTGACTTTTGCGTGATCCTGCATTCAATTGGTGTGAGTAAATCATTAGATAATGATTAGTCACTTTTCTTATTGTGTGCATTTGTGTGCTCAATGCAGATCTTTGTGACCTTGGTCATCGTGTTTGGTGTGGTGCTATACAGGGTCTCCATTATGACTGCCCTGCACATGAGTTCCACTCCCACTTTCCGCACTAATATACGGGCCACCGTTAAAACGACTGGGGCTGTCATCAACCTTATCATCATCATCATCATGGATGAGGTCTATGGAGCAATTGCACGTTGGCTCACTATTATGGGTACGTCTGGTTATTGTTTTCAAGACATTTAGCTCGTTGCAAAAAGCTGTGGTTACAGTATGTGCTGTTGTTTTCAACTCATCAGAGGTTCCAAAAACTGACAAAAGTTTTGAGGAGAGGCTGATCTTCAAGACGTTCATACTGAAGTTTGCTAATGCATTTACCCCTATTGTGTACCTGGCATTCTTCAGAGGCAGGTAAGAGCATTGGACCAAGCAGTCACTCTGAAACTGAATGCAAACTATCAGTTATTAATAAGTATGCAATGGGATTCGCTTTGTTAGAACGACAAGCTCTGTTTCATAACCTGGTGAGCTGCCCTGCTGTCTACTGCCTACATTTGAATTGAATTTGAAACAGCAACTCTCTACAAATAGTGATCTTCACATGAAGAACATGAGAGATTTTGATGTTAACATGTTGCTAGGATAAAGTAAACTAATTAAAAACCATAAAAATGTCACAGCACACAATACTGGGTAAAATAATAGAGCCCAGGGTGGCAGCATGGGGATTCTCAATGTCAACCCACACTGAATCATTTGTAGAGGTTTAATCATGCATGTAGGAAGGATGTCGTTTTGCAAGAGCATTGCAGTAGTCCAGTCTAGAGATGACAACAGCCTTGACAAGGAGTTGTGCTGCATGCTTCATCCAAAATTCGTGTCTAGATCCCAGTGATTATGTATAACGGAAAGGGGAAGGGGCCAAGCACTGAACCCTGGGGTACCCCCATGGATAGTTGATGTGATTTAAGATGCTGCTCCCTTCCAAGATACCTTATAAATAGTAGGTTCTGGGGATTTGCATTAGCAGACAGATCCAGCAGGACAATTGATCTAGATGCATTTTTTTGCCAGCCGCAGGGCTTCAGTGACAGAGAGATGGTCTCTGATTAATTTCTGCTTTCGAGTGTCTGCTTTTAAATTGGCAAAAAAGAGACCAATGACTTTTGCTACTCATTTCACTAGGAACCTTCGATTGGTGCCATTTTCTCTCTTGAGTTTGGTGTCACGAAGAACATCTGATGTCCAGGGGTTAGTGGGCGTTTTGTGCAAACGGGCCTGGAGGAGGGAGGACAGATGATGTCTAGACAATTTGTTCAAGTGGATGTAAATACATTATTTACATAAGAGAGGAGGAGCTTTTAGCAGGGTGAAGAGAGGTGGGCGAGTATAGAAAAAAGATAGAGGTAGGTAAGAGGCAGTGGAGGTTATGTTGGAAGAAAATGTGTGCAGCAAGGTGGAAATCACAAATGTGCAATGCAATGGAGTAACAAGCCCTTGTCTGTGGTACAGTTACTTGTGTAAATGAGGCCCAATAGGTTTCCTGATTTGTAAGTTGGTTAGATGGTGAGGTTAAACAAGCTTATCCAAGTGACTGTATAACCAAGAACCACAATTGAGCAACAAAAGTGGATAATAGCACATCCAGCTCTTCTAAAAAGTTTACAAGCTGATGTAGAGGATGATATATAACGACTTATGGAATTACTGTCATGGTAATTGCATGACATTTAAAAGGATTATTGAGAGCTGTCTGATTTGTTCTGACTTGCATTTCCAGAGTTGATGAGGAAGTGCCAAACAAGAGCAGTTGTCTCTTGCTACTGAAGGGGGTTGAACAATGCACAACATATAAAAGAGGAATGAAGGTAGAAATAACTGCCTTGCTAGAGTCCTTGTTCGTACTAGGGCTTATACAAAAGTCCAGTTGCTCAGGTACACATGCGGGTCATAAGTTAATTCTTCAAATGAGGAGGGCTTCACATAAGGATTGTTAAGACCCTGACACACCAAGCCAACGTTGGGCGGTTTTTGAGCGTCGGCCGGCCCAGTTTTTGTTGTGGCGTACCGTCAGACCCCGTCAGGGACTTTTTGGCCAATTGAGCATGTTGAATCGACATCCGTCGATGTGAGAGAGAACTCTAATTGGCTGTTCAGCTTAGCGGATTAATCCGTGTACAAGAATAAAAGCAAAAGTGATAAAAGCGAGTCAAGACGGCACAGAAAGAAGGCTGTTTTAATTTTTACGCCATCTTACCTGAGCATTTCAATGCACAAATATTTTCAAAACAACATAAACCTTCTGAAATGACGAAAGTGATCAGCATGAATAATATTCAAAATGGTTTCCTTTTTGAATGACGAATATAAACTATTGATACCTGCTGATATAGAAAGGCATCTCCTTACATGCAGGCTCAGAACGCACATGCTAGTTGACGTCAGCTGTAGTGTGTGTGGCGTGTTCAAACCCAGAGACGGCGAAAACCGTTTTCATCACCGTAAGTTCTTTTATGTCGGCATGGTGTGTCACGGCCTTTGTAGTGTGTGAGTTATCAGTTAAGTAAAAAAAAGGCCAAACCTAAACGCCTTTTGGATTAGAAATACAATGCATATGTTGTGAAAGACTGCAAGACTGGAACCGCCCTACAGTACAAGGGCAATTAAAACGTTTAACACCAACAACTCCTTTTTAATTCTCTAAACAATAGAAACAATGTATCAAGTATAGACTTACTACTGCAGACTTGTTTTGGCAAATCACTTTGATGAACTTTTATGGTGCATTCACAGTGACTCTTCAATGGTATTTAACTGGCAGTTCCCTGTTCAAGCATTGCACTGTTTTTGGTATTCACAGCTTCTTATAACTCTTCATGCGCCACTCAACTCCTATGAAATCACAATCACTCAATGAAAACTTGTGATGTCCCGTGGCTTTATCATCACGTGTAGCTGTGAGTGTGAACCAAAATTGGGTATTGTCCTCGCTGGAATACCAGCTTAGACCAGCATGAATTTCTATGTGCCTCCATGCTGGTTTTTGATTTCTGAGCAGTAAAATATTGCTCACTAGGTTTAGGAACAGAGCTATTTTAACCCTCTGGGGTCCTTCATTTCAGAGTCACACTCAGGACCTTCGGGTCCAAATGGGCCGGAAGGGTGGGATTAATATTTATTTTAAAAAAATCATCATTTTTTTTTTACTTGTTTTTTATAATATTTTTTTCTTTTCTTTTTTGGTGTTTTGAGATAATTTCAAAAATAAAAATGATTTATAATTAATATTAATGCAATAATTATGACCCATTTTTTCCCCATTGAATATAATAGAAATAAAAAAAAATATATATAAAAAAATATATTTTTTTTTAAAGCTGTATTTCATTTTAGAGTCAAGCCTAGGCCTCATGAAAGCAATTTTTGAAATGAGATAGATGCCATCTGGTGGACAAACTGAGCATTTTAAAAATTCAAAACCCATATGTAATCTGAATTTATTAGTGTGTATGTGTATAAAAGTGTGTTTGTGTGTGTGTGGATGTGTCTGTTTTGCACTCTTGATGTTTTATAGATTCACCCCTTCACTGTTGTGTGCTTTTTTTCTGGATCGTGGCTGATTTGTAGATTGTACGCACAAAATAACTCTGTATTTTCACATTTTTGCCAATTTCCCATTCATTTCCTATGCGGGTCCATTTGGACCCGAAGGTCCTGAGTGTGACTTTTTTTTACAACCACTTAGACTATTCAAATCCTGTCCCCAATTTTTTTGGGTGTTCATATACCAAGTACCAACAAAGTCACCAAATTTCGGACCATTCCGATAAAGCTATGATTTAAAAAAAAAATTGTTTTAAATGCTTCGGGTCCATTTGGGCCGAAGGACCCCAGAGGGTTAAGGTACTTTTACTGTAATGTCTGTTTTGTGAATCTCCACTTGCATTTGTGCACTGGCTGGTAAATTCAGCTCTTGACCTTCCCCTATCCAATGCCTCCAGACTCATCGGACGCCCAGGCAAATATATCTACGTATTGGGGTCTTACCGGATGGAAGAGGTACTTATCTAGTTTTCACTTATCTCCTTTATGTGTGTGTTGGTTTTCAAGAGAGGGAAGTCATAAAATGATCAGTCTCATTGACCACCTGGTGTACATGTATGTGTGTGTATAAGCTAAAATCATTTTGAACCATACTCTATTTTTGGAGTGTAACCACATCATCATATGAAAAATAACTTGACAGATTGTCCTAGTTACCTCAGTCCTTATGACTAACACATGCGAAGGTTTGTACGCCACAGTAACTGACTGAAGTCTCTCTCTGTCTCACCCTACAGTGCGCTCATGCCGGCTGTCTGATGGAGTTGTGCATTCAGCTCTGCATCACCATGCTTGGCAAACAGCTCATCCAGAATAACCTGTTTGAGATTGGCGTCCCGTGAGTACACACAGCATAGAGAACATGTAGGCACATTTCTAAGTCATTATTCCCACAGAGACGATAGAAATCTGATCAATTTCCGCTCTGCATTATAGGTGTGGTGTACATTTCCAGACGTGCATTCTTTAGCGAATAATTGTACTCTGTTTTTCATACCAGAGCATTGAAAGGACCTTGCATGATCCTTTCTCTTTTTCATGGACAAACCTTGCTGACCTATTTCATGGCATGCTTGCAAATACATTTTGTTGTTCTTGGACAAATGCAAATATACTGGATTGTAAGCTTATCCCATGCAAATGTTTCTGAAAGTAATACATGGTAAAAGACATACATCCAGCAGATCCAGACAGAATCTGCTAACTTTTTTTTTTCCAGATTTTCTAAGCTAATTTTTGAAGGGAAATCTGCAAATGTTAAGTCAAGTTACATTTGTCACAATTTCTGGGTCCAATTACTCCTTCAGAGCCCAAAAGCAAACAACAAACTGTGCTTATACTGTATATGCTCACGGTGTGCTGTACTACCACAACACAAAACAAAAAAACATGATCCTAACCTTTTATTTCCATAGCGAAATCTCGATTGACCAGACAGTGAAATCATTTTTTTTTTATGAATCTTCAAAATATTGGTATCCGAAATGCTTTTTAGAAAGTTTTTAAAGCTTAGCTTAAAGATGTGCTATAAATAATTCTTGTATTGAGATTCTCACTTCAGTTCCCAAACGTCACAACTTAAGACATAGTCAAGACTGCACCTACTGTAGTACGTATAGTCACAATTATTTTGCTGACAATGTAAAACCTTTGATTCTTACTTGGCCATTAAGATTCCTAAAGATTACGTCATTAGTCTAGCTTTGCGAAATTCTTCCAAATTCACATGACATTTTTCATATATTAAAATGTTATAGTACAAAAATCAAAGTTAATAGTGTAATTGCTATCTGTTGTTATATCAGTGCATACAAATTTAAATATTTAAATATTGTTGTTATATTTTAATGCAAAATCATAAGCATTTTTTTTTTTTTTTACTATTTGGTTGGAAAGATTGTTTCTCTGATTTAAAAAAAAAAAAGTCCCTCTTTAGCCATATAAGTCATACAAAAAAAGGTATAGATGTAGGTATTAAAAAATGAAAAATTCATTATATATGAATTTAAAAATATATATATTTAAAGAGAACTCTGATGCTCACCAAGGCTGCATTTATTTGATCTAAAAATAAAGTAAAAACAGTAACATTGTGAAATATTATTAGAATTTTTAGAGAACTATTTTCTGTTTTAATATATTTTAAAATGTAATATATTCCTGTGATCCAAAGCTGAATTTTCAGCATCATTACTCCAGTCTTCAGTGTCACTCTAATACGATGATTTGGTGGTCAATTATTATCAGTTATTATTGATGCTCAAATATTAATAATCAGATTAGTGCATCCTTGCTGAATAAAGTTATGAATTTCCTTTTGTTTAACTTTTCCCAAAGAATATATTATTAAAATGGCGGAAAATTATACAGATGTCTAATTTAATCTGATCTGAGCATTCGTGAGGCTCTGCAAATGAGCATCATGTAATGACTATGCTTGAATTCAGTGATTATTACTGTGTGTGTGTGTGTGTCACAGGAAACTGAAGAAACTGCTCCGACAACGCAAGATAGACAAAACGCATCAGGAAGAGCTGAACAAAACGCTTCATCGCCACGAGAAGGACCACTTCCTTGGGCCCTTTGTCGGACTCAACCCAGAGTACATGGAAATGAGTGAGTCAGAACACAATATGCGCCCACACACACACACACACACACACATACAGATGTATAAACGTTTGTTTGCATTCTCTCCTGGTCCTGCTGGCTCTGTTTTCTGCACTCATGTATGAACATGGCATCATTACAAATGTATCATAATTACAGTTTCTGATGATGAATTATTAAATCCGTGCTGTCCACAAACACTAATTGAAATGTCTAAACTCGACTAGACAGATTTATACACATCTGTTCAAAGCACTATTATACGAGACCGCATGCATGGGAAACAGGGTAAATGCACATCCATGCTGTGAAGGATCTGCAGTGTTATTATCATACGTGGAGTCGGTGTGTTACCGGCCCCTCCTCTTATCTCGCCTCATCTGTGCTTCAGCGTGGGCTGGACTTCTGTGAAGAGAGAGGCATTATGGGTCCAAAGGGGGGCTGGCAGAGCAGTGTGAGATTATGAGCTTTAGTTCTGGCTTGAATTCATTAATAACATCCCACCCCCTCACCTACCATCCTCCATCCACACTTCTATCACTCCATCTCTCACGGTCTCTCCCGTCCCGTTCCTCCATCTTTGAGCCACACTCCTCCTGAGACCCTAAACTGGTTTCAGGAGCATCAGACAAAACTCTGTGGGCGATTTAGTGTTTTTGAATCATTTTAAAGTTTCCCAGCATACCAGCAACATCTGAATTATTATCTGATAAGATGTTCTCTGTACTTCTGAGTTTTGCTTTAGTGGAACCTTCTGTGGAAGCTGGATGTTTTTGTTTCTTTCTCTTATCCAGTCATTCAGTTTGGGATGGTGACCTTGTTTGTGGCGTCCTTCCCGCTGGCTCCGCTCTTTGCTCTTCTGAACAACATCATCGAGATCCGTCTCGATGCCAAAAAGTTTGTGACGGAACTGAGAAGACCGATTGCTGTAAGAGCAAAAGACATTGGTCAGTATCTTCACACCGAGTTTCAGTGCATCCAATATGATGATGTAATGTAAACATGTTTGAGTGTCTTTTGTGATTTATACACATAATGGGTCTCATTCATGAAACATTCGTAAATATACGAGTAAATATGAGAGTGATTTGCGCGTAAAGAGACCTTCCCGAAAACTCTTCTCCTGATTCACAAATACTTTGTAAACGTCAGATGTGATAGTGAAATGTGTGTGTGTGTTAATGAATTCCAATCAGTCGTAAATGGGATGCGCGTGCACGTTCATTCTCAATTACCATAAATCCCGCCCATTAAATCCGACTGACAGCTATATATGGGCATCATATTATGACATGAATGCGAATGAAAAAAAAATTTCTCAGATGCAGAAATTGAAGTTTTATTATCAGAAGTTCATTCAAAACGCCACATTTATTTTCAAGCGTACAGTGGCGTATCGGGTCCTAAAAAAAAAGGAAGCTTGGCAGCATATTACAGATGCAGTTAATGGAGTTTCATCTGTTAATCGAACATTCCCAGAAGTGAGAAGAAAATGGTTCGACATTAAGCTTGAGAGCAAAAAACGAATTAGTTCACTTCGGAAAAATAGTATTCAAACTGGAGAAGGACCACCATCGCAGATGCTATTACTGGCTCTCATAATAAGAAAAAACGTATGTAATTACTATAAATAATATTTTTTCAAAATGCTGTGCAAATATGTACCCGATTAAGGTGAATTAAAATGCAGCCTTAGTTATTAATGAGCAAAACGTTCGGGTGTTAAGCGCCCTATTTACGCGTGGCTGGGAGCAGGTGTAGATTTCTTGTGTACTAACTAACATTTGGAAAATACGAACATTTTAATGAATCCGAAAATTTACGCCAGAACCACTTTACACACGATTTACACAAAAATTCGTTCTGCTCGTGTTTCATGAATGAGACCCATTGAGAACATCTGCAAAATACACATACTCCAAAATCCAAGATATGGGGACACAAAATGCCCCCGTTTTATTATATAACCTGTGATATAGTTGCAAATGTGATATTGATTTTATACGACACCTGAATAAACAAGAACTTAATATTAAGTGACTTACATTTAAGATAGTACGGACGCTTTCAAAACGCGCTTTATGAAGCTTCGAAACCTTTGCAAATCTTTTGTGTCTTATCAGTGATTCGGATGGCGTATTAAACCGACACGTGATTTGAGTAACGAGGCTTCGTTAGGTCATAATTATGTTGAAACGTTTCATAATTTCACTGGTGAACTGTTCTGTGAACCCAAAATCCAGTGTCTATATGTTTTTTAGTCGATCTCGGATCAGTTTTATAAATTTGTAGACATTTTTAATGCCACTTTTGTATAATAAAAAGGGGGAGTTGTAGTTAATATTGTCTTATTGGCCTGATTAACCGAACTGTCCATAAAACAATGTCCTAGAATTTTATAAAACATATTTAATGGTATTAGATCATTTGTAAATTGCATTTAATAGATAGCACTTTTAATAAACCATTTGTTATTGGTTTGTAAAAGGTGTTTTTATGCATGCTTTTGCAGTTTTCATTGCATTTACACAGTTTGGACCAGCAGACGTGTGGCGTTTCACAGTGAATCATTTTGCAAAGCAATTGGCTCAATTGATTCAAAGTTTCGAAAAGCTTAGTTTCTCTTATCAATATTTTTAGACACAATATTGTATGTTCTCGCCAATGAATATAGTTCCAAACACAGCCACATTTTAGTTTAACTGAATGAGTCAGCGTTGTTGAGCAATTCAGTTGAGTGAATGATTCAATGACTCACTCCTGCTGATACTCCTCTGATTCATTCCTGAATGGCGGAGTTTTAGTTCACTTTTTTTATGCCATTCCCTCCGTCTTGTTCACTCGGATGTACATCATTGCTTACTTTGCACGAGTGCCTACTACTGGTGGAACCCTTGAAATGTGTCTACATGCCATAAGCCCTTGATTACTTGTGGGTAAATTAAGTACGAGCACTGCGAGTTGCTGTTGTGACGTCACAATCGTGTTGGATTGTGGTCTGGATCTGCCTGAAGTGTACATATGAGTAGACTAGCTCCCTCTGTCAAAATCGAGGGGTCGAGGGTCTGTCCAAATAAACTTCCCTCGTCCACATCGGTGGGGATTCCCTTGAGGGGAAGTGCTTAAGGAAGTTTGTCCCAAATGACACACTATACACTATACACTCATACATGTACTCAAAGGTTATTTTGTCATTTAACATCAGAGTCTGATGCCCCTCCCCCTCTGTTGCGTAATTAAAGCTGTGACAGTGGAGCGAATGAAGTGTCCAACATCACACACTATGTTTTTCCAGTTAATTAAGTGCATCATCCCAGTATTTAAAGTGCCCTTTTTTCTTTTTGGAATTTGAAATCGCACTATTTATTCTGCAAAACATCATAGAATAGTGCACAAATATGTGAATTGGGGCACACCTTATGTCTAAAAGTGCAGTTAAACAAAGCCAATGAATCTGTTTTGAACGGATCGTTTGAATGAATGATTTAATGATTCACTCATTAAGACTAGTGGCAGTTATAAGCTCATAACATTTATTTATGCAATTTTCACTTCAGGCATCATCTGTGATACTTCTGCAGTGGATTTTGTTGATAGGGATTTAATTGAATTGGTTACAGCCCTATATTGTCTTATTAAACGTATTCTTCAATGCAATCAATAAGTTCAATTAGAATAATTAGATTAGAAAACAAATTGCCCTTATAAAGGGGGGAAAAGCACCTTCAAATCAAATTACAGGAGCAAATGCCACCCCTTAATTAAAAGTTAATTTCTTTTACTGATTTGGCCTTTCAGATGCCACTTAAATGTTTTATTTCTAGCATAAACATTTAGCAATGCAACATAAACTATATATATATATATATATATATATATATATATATATATATATATATCACATAATTTGCTATCATTGATGATAAATGTATTTATAAGTTGTTTATTTTATTTTATATTGCTAACTTGCCCTGCTATGGGGTGCATTGTCTGGGTAATAATGTAAATGTTCCATAGCTTTTTGTGCAGCCAAATCTGGGCTTTTAACAATGAACCAACCATGAGAAATATTCACTGGAGTGTGACAACTTGCCCCATACTCACTTAACTGTCTTTACGATGCTTGTTTTCAATGCAATACACTGTTTAATCCCAGCGAAAGGCTAAAAAGGAAAATTATGTTCTAAATCTACAACTATAAGCAAGATTAAGCTGCAAATTATTGATTATACACCAAGGAAAATGGCTTGATATACACTGATCCCAAGCTTTATGATTATCATTTATCACCACCTAGTGGTAATATGTGCTAAATCTCATGAAACCTGCATTTGTCTTATGTTCATTTAAGAGTATGATTATTTATTAAAGATGATATTTTACTTAAATAAAAAAGTGTTTATTTATTTTAATGATGATTAAGGGATGACATTCAGCCAGCTGCAAATATAACTGTTTTAAAACACACACAATATATGTAATCTAATGTCTTTCTTTCTGTTTGTTTGTCTTGAAGGGATCTGGTACACTCTTCTCAGAGGACTCAGTAAAGTGGCCGTCATAGTTAATGTAGGTTTTCAGTTCCATGTGTTTGTTCTGAAACATCAGCTGCTGTACTGTGAATGATGAACCTGTTATCAAGTCCATTCTGCTCAGCACTCAAGAGTGATCCTTAGTGGAAAGTGTCACTATTAGGGGTGGGAAAAAAAATCGATATTGCAATATATTGTTGTGCTCTCTGTCGCAATAAATAATCGATACACTAACGCCCAATATCGATATTTTATTACAAAACAAAATGATTAATTTACCCGTTGTCAGTGTCACTGTCACTACCCAATATCTACCATTCTGTTTGCGGGGGGCGCTGTTCGAGTAAATAGGGGTAAAGTGGCGCAAACAGCGGCCGGTGAAGAACACAAGTTAACTAACAACAACAGAGAGAAGCGAGAAGAATGGCGGAAAACAATAAAAAACGAATCAAAGACCCACCCGCTAGTTTCCACTCTAAAGTGTGGAGACACTTCGGGTTTTACGAGCAGAGAGAGCGCAACGGCCGCGCGCGCGCACTCTCACGTCTTCAAACAACACGAGCGCTGTCTTGCTCTCTCCCTCGCGCATATTAATCAAAATCAATTGACACGATAGTAAAAGGTCGGAAGGAGACCGCAGTTTCACGTGGAGCATTTGGAGATTTTTTGAGATTAGAGACTCGCCTAAACTCAATGAACAACATCTCAACACTAAATTATAAAGGCCTGTCTCATATAGACGCCTGTCTCGAATACAAGCCGGTGCAGTTCGACGATTTGGGAAAATAAAAACCCGGGAAGTTTTACGGTATATTAATTCTCAATATGTACACATGCATTATAATCTTTCTTTTCAGTCACATATATCGTGATATATCGTTGATGAAATTTCTTCCAATATATTGAATATCGTAGATATCGCGAATCGTGATATTATCATATCGTGGACCACATATCGCCACAGAATTGAATCGTGAGGTACCTGTATCGTCCCACCCCTAGTCACTATATTGCTTCTTCTCAGAGTTATGATTTTACACAGGTGTGCTTTTACTTTTCTAAATGTCTGACTTCGTTTTCAGCAGGTGAAAGAAATAGAGCTGTGTTCAAACTCAGCCCCTGTTCCCTCATTCACTTTTCCCTACATTACTCCACTGATATAGTTCAGTTGAAGGAGTGAATGGAAACGAGTGAGTGAATCCGGACACTGAGTGCACTGGAAGGGCTGCCGCTTTTGCATAGTTTGTGCCTTTTTACAGTTTTTCTCAGTGGCTTTTAGCCTGGGAAAACCCAGACAACTTCCGGCAAATTTAGATTTGCTCTGAAAGTTAGTCTGGCAAAGAGCTCATTCAAGCCCATTTCCAATCCGTCGAAATCGAGGCACCAATCAGAAACGTTGGGGCGGGCTTTACACGATGACGACAGCGCTGGGATTTTGAAGCAGATTTTGTAGCCTACATTACAAAGATGGATGCCGCCGTCGAACATCACTCGTTCCAATCAGCTATCTTGTCTGTTTTACTCGATTTGAACGTTTCCTTTTTGTTAAAAACCGAGCAAAGAACAACACTCGGAGATGTTTCTCCACCGCTCTGCATACGTCATCTCCTTCATCGCTCTGATTGGGTTTAGGTCTATCCGCGACGTCCGTTGGTGACGCCCCTCTGGAAATGATTTGTCTATGACGCTTTGCCAGACCATAACTCACTTACAACTGAGAATGGTCTGGTTTTAACCAGGCTAAGTGGCTTTGGTACATTTCTCGAATCATCCTCGACGTTTGTAAAACAGTAAGTGAAAAACATTTCTCAAAACAATTCATACAAATAGCAAAACACCATGGATTACCTGCAAAAGCCCGTCTCTTGCTCAACATCCTCAGTTCATCTCTCAAAAGTAAATATCTGTGTTAATGAACATGTCAGTGCATCAGAATGACAAGTGCTTGTGTCATTGTGTACGGATAACACAGTCAGATTGCTTAGTAATGTTGTCAATATAACAGTGTACTCTGGAGGGATGTTCTGATGTAAACTATGGATAAAGTTTTGTAAAATGTAGGTTACACACCTTAGTGTGTGTGGGAGTTTGATTGCAGGAGACTGGACAAGATTTACGCTTTTACTGTTTGTACTGTAACGTGTTGTTATTGCGATACAGAAAGGAAAGAGCACTGCATAGCACAAAGAAAAAAAAAGTGAAAGTAGAAATGTGAACAGGACAGATTTAGAAAAAAAGTCCAATGGAAATGTATAGAAATATGCTTGATTATGACAACTTGTTCAACCAGTTTGCATGTAAAGACTTCTGCTATGCACTAAAGCTTGTTCAAAGAAATGAGAAACTGCTTTTTTGATGTGCACAAGTGACAATGATGTGAAGATTGAACAGGTAGTTTTGAGAATCTCAATTCTGATCTGAGAAATGTACCAAAGCGACTGAGAAAAACTGTAATAATCATTTGATACTTGGCAAACTGGCAGCTCCAGTAGTAATGAAAAGATTTATCTTGAACTCTGTCATGAAAACTAGCATGTATAAACCTTATTTAATAAGCAACTAAAAGGAATTTATACCTGTATAATTTTATGCTGAAGCCATGATTAGACCAGCGGTTTGGAGGATGGATGATTGAGCTGTGAGCGCCATCTTCTGGTGACACACGGGAATTCATCCGTGCATTATGGGTATTTTCCAGCTGTTGAGATTGGTTGTACTTGTACACCCAGTATGGCAAGCCGTTTTAACTTTTATTCATTTCCAGGATATGAATTGTTGATATCAACAATTACATTTTTGATATCAACAAAACAATTTTTTGATATCAACAATTACATTTTTTATATCAACAATTCAATTGTTGATATCAACAATTGAATTCTTGATATCAACAATTAAATTATTGATATCAACAATTGAATTATTGATATCAAAAATGTAATTCTTGATATCAACAATTGTATTTTCACTAGTGAAATGTCACCATAGACTGCCATTCAAAATCAATTGTTGATATCAAGAATTGATTTCTTACTAGTAGAAATATAATTTTTGATATCAATAATTGCATTGTTACTAGTAAAAATGCGAATTCCTGATATCAATAATTAAATTATCACTAGTCTAAATGTCTATTCTTGATATCAACAACTGAATTGCTACTAGTAAAAAATTTCATTTTTGATATCTGAAAATGTATTTCTGATATCAATATTATTTCAGATATCTAAAATGGCTTTCTTACTAGTAACAATCACATTCATGATATCAGAAATTAACATTGTCACTAGTGAAAATTGAATTATTGATGTCAAAAATGAACATTGTTACTAGTAGCAATTCAATTGTTGATATCAAGAATAGACATTTCAACTAGTGACAATTTAATTCTTGATATCAAAAATAAAGGTTTTTACTAGTAAGAATTGTATTTCTGATATGTGAAATTGGAATTTCAACTAGTAAGAAATCAATTCTTGATATCAAGAATTGATTTTGAATGGCAGCCTATGGTGACATTTCACTAGTGAAAATACAATTACAGATATCAAGAATTATAGTTTTTACTAGTTGCAATTCAATTGTTGATATCAAGAATTATCATTTTAACTAGTGAAAATGTAAATGTTGATGTCAAGAATTAGCATTGTTACTAGTGAAAATGTAATTCCTGATATCCAAAATTGCCATTGTTACTAGTAGAAATATTATTCCTGATATCAATAATTATAATTTTAACTAGTGAAAATTGAATTGTTGATATCAAGTATTCATATCCTGGAAATGAATAAAAGTTAAAACGGCTTGCCATAGTATGTACACTATGGTTTCGGACACTAGTATAATTGGCGGTCTCCTCAAATAATGCCCTATTTAAGGGTTTATGGGGTGATTTCAAACACAGCCTAGGAAACAGCATATCAGAGACACACACCGGTTAGCAAACACGCTCACAAACGCGTGTTCCTGTGTCCCTCCCCAGGCGTTTGTGATCTCCTTCACCTCTGACTTCATCCCACGCCTGGTCTACCAGTACATGTACAGTCCAGACGGGACTCTTCATGGCTTCGTCAATCACACGCTCTCATACTTCAACGTCAGTCACTTCCAGCCTGGCACGGAGCCGCTGGCGCCGCTACACCTGGGCTACCGCGTCGACGTCTGCAGGTGCGCGCGCGCTCTTGCACTGTGTGGATCTTCTAGATGTATATTATATTCATAATGTTTACACTATCCACAGATATAAAGATTACAGGGACCCTCCATGGTCCGAGACGCCGTACGAGTTCTCACGAGAATTCTGGGCCATTCTGGCGGCGCGATTCGCTTTCGTCATCGTCTTTCAGGTCAGAACCACATTCATTAAACACCAATTACATAATTCAAATTTTTTGATTTCTGATTACTTTCTGGATGAATAATTGTATTATTATTTGTTGTTTAATATTATATTAATTATAAAAATTATTTAATTATAAATAGAGCTGTCAAATCGATTAATTGCGGTGTGTGTGTGTATAAATATAGACACTCACCTAAAGAATTATTAGGAACACCTGTTCAATTTCTCATTAATGCAATTATCTAATCAGCCAATCACATGGCAGTTGCTTCAATGCATTTAGGGGTGTGGTCCTGGTCAAGACAATCTCCTGAACTCCAAACTGAATGTCAGAATGGGAAAGAAAGGTGATTTAAGCAATTTTGAGTGTGGCATGGTTGTTGGTGCCAGACGGGCCGGTCTGAGTATTTCACAATCTGCTCAGTTACTGGGATTTTCACGCACAACCATTTCTAGGGTTTACAAAGAATGGTGTAAAAAGGGAAAAACATCCAGTATGCGGCAGTCCTGTGGCCGAAAATGCCTTGTTGATGCTAGAGGTCAGAGGAGAATGGGCCGACTGATTCAAGCTGATAGAAGAGCAACTTTGACTGAAATAACCACTCGGTGCAGCAAAGCATTTGTGAAGCCACAACACGCACAACCTTGAGGCGGATGGGCTACAACAGCAGAAGACTCCACCGGGTACCACTCATCTCCACTACAAATAGGAAAAAGAGGCTACAATTTGCAAGAGCTCACCAAAATTGGACAGTTGAAGACTGGAAAAATGTTGCCTGGTCTGATGAGACTCGATTTCTGTTGAGACATTCAGATGGTAGAGTCAGAATTTGGCGTAAACAGAATGAGAACATGGATCCATCATGTCTTGTTACCACTGTGCAGGCTGGTGGTGGTGGTGTAATGGTGTGGGGGATGTTTTCTTGGCACACTTTAGGCCCCTTAGTGCCAATTGGGCATCGTTTAAATGCCACGGCCTACCTGAGCATTGTTTCTGACCATGTCCATCCCTTTATGGCCACCATGTCCCCATCCTCTGATGGCTACTTCCAGCAGGATAATGCACCATGTCACAAAGCTCGAATCATTTCAAATTGGTTTCTTGAACATGACAATGAGTTCACTGTACTAAAATGGCCCCCACAGTCACCAGATCTCAACCCAATAGAGCATCTTTGGGATGTGGTGGAACGAGAGCTTCGTGCCCTGGATGTGCATCCCACAAATCTCCATCAACTGCAAGATGCTATCCTATCAATATGGGCCGACATTTCTAAAGAATGCTTTCAGCATCTTGTTGAATCAATGCCATGTAGAATTAAGGCAGTTCTGAAGGCGAAAGGGGGTCAAACACAGTATTAGTATGGTGTTCCTAATAATCCTTTAGGTGAGTGTGTATATATATATATATTATACAAACAAAAACTTATATGTTAAGATGCAATTAATCGTGACTAATCAATTTGACAGCACTAATTATAAATTATATTTAATTTATTACGATTAATTCTCATATTAGTATAATGTGTAAAATCTAATTTTCTTTACTGTCCATTTTTTTTTATAATTTATACCCATTATTAAAATGGGCATAAATTAATTTCAGATACTACTGTGATCAGTGTTATTTATATATTAATATTGTATTATTTAGTGATATTTTACATATTTAGTTTGTTTTAGTCATTTTGTTAACTACTTTTGTCATGTTTTATTAAGTTTATCCCCCAAATATTTCAATTTAGATTTATTTTTATTTAAGTTTTAGTACTTCGACTTAAGGCAACATATCTAATTTACATTTGAGTTTCTAATATTTCAGCTTTATTTCAGTTAATGAAACTTATACTGACTGTAAATATATGCTTACAAGTGTACTTTAATTATTCAAAAAAAAAAAATTAATACCAGTTTAGTTCAACCAATTACTAAGCAACTTAACTTTGTTCAGTCTGTGGTGTAAAAAGGTGACATTAGCAATAATGTACCCACTAGTAAAAATATAACAAATTATATCTGGTGTCTGAATAATTTTTGGTTTGACTGTATTTCTAGGTTTCTGTGAGATGGACTTTAATACGAGTGTTAATTCTCTCTCTTCTCTCGGTCCAGAATGTGGTAATGCTGATGAGCGACTTTGTGGATTGGCTAATCCCAGACATTCCCAAGGACATTAGCGTTCAGATACACAAGGAGAGGAACCTGATCGTTGAGTTGTTCATGAAGGAGGAGCGGGGCAAGAAGCACAGGAACACCATCGGTGACCCGAGTCCTCAACCGCTGCGCTCGCGTCCCAGTTCCCAGGCTTGATCTCCATCAGAACTCAGTCCAGGAAACCAGTCCAGCATCAATGTCGGTACAAAGAAGGTCACATGACTGCCTCCTCATTTGCATACCATTTTCCTTCCGTCTGTTAGCGCGGCGCTCTCTTTTTCTATCAGCTTTATGCAGTCTGCCGGGTTGTTCAGAAAGAGGGCTCTAGGGTTTGATCTGTTGACTGATGAATAGTGTATGTAGTTTTGTGACACATTGCTGCTTCAGCATTTTATTTGAAGAAGAAACGATGCTTTTATAGGACTTTTAACATGAAATTGTAACGTTTATGTTTGCGATATTGATAGGATAGGACTCATTTAAAGTGCTTTTTAAATGATTTATTATTAGACCTTTCATTCAGAATATTTCTGCCCGAGTGAATTAGCAACTCTCAATATCACGAAGTAGTTCTGCTCTGTCATAGTAATGAATGTTTCTGTTTAGGCTTTAGCGTCTATAAAATATAGACATAAAACACTATTAATAAATCAAGTTACTACAATCCTCACTTGGTCTTTTTTAGTATTCTATGCGATTTTGACTGAATGCCGATCGAAGTTTTCGGCAGCATGCAAGAGCTTGGTTTTTCGGTAGTGCATCTGATAATGCTGTTAATAAAGGGTTCGCTGCTTAGAAACCCATGACGTTCAAGAGGCCTTAATATTCACGGAAATGCGCTGCATTTATTAATATTAAATCGTATGGACAGAGTTTTGTGTCTGCCTGTCTGAATGTTTTCTCTCTTGTCTTTGATGGCGAAGATGATTGAACCGATGTATATTGGTACTATATGTTGCATGTGTCTTCCATTCATAGTAATTAAAATTGTTTAAAAGCGTGATAAATAAAAGAGTGGTTCTAATTGGAATGAATATAATATTAATATAAAATATAAATCCAGTCTTGTTAAGACATACTCTCTGTTTGTTTTGACATATGCCTATGTTTTTTCCTCACGTAATACAGATTTTTTTTTTTTTTTTTTATATATATATATTCCTGTATCTCCACAATGGCTTTGGTTCTACCTTTATTAATAAATGTACAGTGTAAACCTCTGTTCAGACTGTTACATCATCCACATACTGTTGACCTCTGTGAAAGAATGTCTTTTGTGTCGTCATGGAGTTTCAGTGTCTCAAACTGCTTATGGGAAGTTATGACTGTACTTATGCTTTTGAACTGTTTCTAAAATAAATGTCATATACATTTGGTACGTACACGTTTATTGACTCTTTTGCTGACCGGAAGGCCAGTTACATGTTGTTGCTTGGAAAAAAAAACAAACTTTTTTAACAAACTTGTTTGTTAAAAAAAAAAGTTTATTTTTGTTGCCTGCTCCTCTCCTTCGAGTTAAATAAGGAAGGAATGATGAGCAATAAAATAGGAAGTATGTTATGGGAAGCTTTTTTACTTTTATTCATTTCCAGGATATGAATCTTGATATCAACAATTCACTTTTACATTTTTTATTGATATAAAAAAAATATGATTTTTACTAGTAGAATTTTATTTCTGATATGTGAAATTGGAATTTCAACTAGTAAGAAATCAGTTCAACAATTGAATCTGAATATCAGCCTGGTGATATTTAACTAGTGAAAATACAATTACAGACATCAAGAATCAAAGCTTTTACTAGTTGAAATGTAATTCTTAATATTGAGAATTCGTTTTTCTGCATCGAGATTCAACATTTTTACGAGTGGAAATTTAATTACTGATATCAAAAATTAGCATTTTAACTAGAGAAAATCGAATTGTTGATATCAATAATTCATATCCAGTGAATGAATAAAAGTCAAAACGGCTTGCCATAAGTAATAGGCAACTTCAAATTCAGTTGAAGTGTGATTCATTTTGGGAATCGATTCTTTTGGATCAGAAAATGACACGAGCTGAATTATCACTCAAAAGGTTTCCAGGAAGTCTCGCATGCTTCATTTACATCTCTTAGCTGGAAATAAAGGTTTTAAGAAAATGGTAACCTACTTATTTAAAAAAACAAAACTATTCTGTTTCGTTTGTGTGTTGGTCACGCAATTATAATCATCCAGTGATATATTATCATTTCTCTCGGTTCAGTCCAAATGAAGTTGTTCAACAGCTCATGGACTTGGACAGTTCTGAATTCAGTCAGAAGTTTTACAGTTTCTTACAATGACTTATTTCAGAATGAACCTCTAGTCAAAGAGTTTTTGAGAATCAAAATCTCGAGAATCGCTCGGACTCATTCAGTGCGACTCGTGAACGAATTCGATCGATACAAAAATCCACACACACCACACACACACACACACACACACACACACAAAGACTCAAGATTCAAAAGAACGAATCATGTGTTTGAAGCAAGTTCCCTATAAAGTGAAGCGTTATTGGCGGGCGTCATTTCTGGTTCCCAGCTGACTAACTCAAGCAGTGGAGTCGGGTGTATTTGAGGGATTTTCACGCTGGATCGCGAGTGTTGAAAGTGAAAGCGTCAGATGAAGCGTCCGGGCGTCATGCGGTAGCGCGTTATAAAGTTAACTTGTGTTAGCGTTCAAACACAGCGATCATGGACACGCGCGGGTTTAGAGCGATGTTGTTAGAGATATCCAATAAACTTTCCGAGGAGAATGTGGCGAGTTTAAAGTTTTTGTGCACAGACATCGGGAAGAAAAGGCTTGAGAAAATCAATAAGGGAATTGAACTTTTCGAGTGCTTGATCGAAAGAGCTGCAATTGGGCCCAATAACACGGACCTTTTGCGGAAACTTCTGAATGACATCGATCAGACAGTTCTTCTCGAAATACTACAGGATTATGAGACACTTGCGACCAGAAGCCCCGCTGATGGACTGGAGGAGAAACAGCGAGGTTTGGATGACTTTACTGAACTCTTGCTATTCATTTTATGGTTAACACTGTTCTCTGACTGACAGTAAAGAGTGACAAGGCAGTTAGTCAGGATATTTTTGTTAAACTCTCTAAATGTCTCTTATTTAAAGTGAAACGATAGCTTAAAGGCAGACTGGGGTGTAATTTCAATGGTATTTCTAGGTATTTTATCGTTTGGTGTTTACTCTCGCGGCTTTCCGTCATGAGTTAACGTTAGTGCTTGAAAAAACGCAAACTCATGGCAAGCCGAATTAACATTAATTTTAAAACGAATACTTCCTCATAGGCGAAGTTCCACTTGTGTGTGTGTGTGTGTGTGCCATCATGAAATAGAAGAATGTCAAACATAAAAAAGTCCTAAGTCTAATTGTAGTTATGACGTATTCAAATTAAGCTATTTGCAAATACTATTTTATCTTAAAAATGTGCACACTTTTTCAGTCTTGTTCGTAAATTCATCATTTGACATTGATCTGCCTCAGCGGTCATCAATCTAGAAAATAAATCTGCCTAAAAATGTAACTTTTAAAACTTGTCATCTAACGACAAACAGATTTACTGATTCTACACTAAAATTATAAGATACGACAAATAAAAATGAGAAAATATAACTTAGACAAAATCATTGGCTCTGGTCCACCAGTTATATTTTAGTTGTTCTACTACAACTAAAGTTGTTTACTACTTGTTCTACTTTAATAACTTGTATCTTTTTCACTGATAACCTTTATATTAGAATAGAATAATACATAGTAGTGACAGATTTTGACAGTTCCATTCTTCTATTTCATTACTTGTAATTGCTTATTTTCAGTATTTAGTTGTTCATTATGGGAGGATTTAGGATGTTGGTTGAAAGTGGGGATGCACGATTGTGGATTTTTGCCAAATATTTTTCAAATCTTATTTCTTTCCTCAGGCCATCTACCTCATGAACTGTTAAACGCCTTCACATGTGTAATACACAACACTATTTATATACTCATATTTATTTAGCATACTTATTCACATTCCCTTGCATTTGTAAATAACACACCTGTACATACATATATATTGTCTATTTTTGAATGTTGTGTATTGTTTATCACAGATTACTAAATTGTGTATATATAAAATTATTTAATTTACAAGTGTCGTTTGTGATTTTTATTTATCATGTAACTTAAGCCATAGCTTCTGACCATTAAATAAAACCAGACTCGTGATTTTATAACATCAATTACTGCTTTATTGAAATACAGAAGTAACTTATACAATACGTTAGGCTATATTATCGGCAAGGCATTTCGGCATAATTATTTCAAATCCGGCTGATGCCGATTATTACATTTTAAGCTTTTATCGGCCGATTCCAATGCCGTGCCGGTAATATCGTGAGAGGAATTTCTTGCCTCATGCGTTTTTCTATGGCCAATATAATGAACAGGTTTGAAATAATGCAGTTAAATATATAATACAATTTACAGTCAATAAACTTATAAAGCCTAAAGCTTCTAAATTATCAACAGGATCAAAACTTTGCTGAAAACCGGATGCACAGAAACCGCATGCCTTCTGTCGCCTGACTGACAGTTCATACATTTTTTTGCACGTAAAAGCCTTTTAGTGTCATACTAAAAATGTGGCCCTTCAGGTCGTGGATCTTCATGATATTTTTCTGTGAAATTAATGATTTGTATTAAAGTGAATATTCGGCTGCATTTACACTGCAGGTCTTGATGCCTAATTCTAATTTGTTTGCTATATCTGATTTTTTTTGGATGACCAGCTTACATCTTCTTTTAAAGGTGACCCATATACACTCACCGGCCACTTTATTAGGTACACCTGTCCAACTGCTCATTAACACTTAATTTCTAAGCAGCCAATCACATGGCGGCAACTCAGTGCATTTAGGCATGTAGACATGGTCAAGACAATCTCCTGCAGTTCAAACCGAGCATCAGTATGGGGAAGAAAGTTGATTTGAGTGACTTTGAACGTGGCATGATTGTTGGTGCCAGAAGGGCTGGTCTGAGTATTTCAGAAACTGCTAATCTACTGGGATTTTCACGCACAACCATCTCTAGGGTTTACAGAGAATGGTCCGAAAAAGAAAAAACATCCAGTGAGCGGCAGTTCTGTGGGCGGAAATGCCTTGTTGATGCCAGAGGTCAGAGGAGAATGGCCAGACTGGTTCGAGCTGATAGAAGGGCAACAGTGACTGAAATAACCACTCGTTACAACCGAGGTATGCAGCAAAGCATTTGTGAAGCCACAACACGCACAACCTTGAGGCGGATGGGCTACAACAGCAGAAGACTCCACCGGGTACCACTCATCTCCACTACAAATAGGAAAAAGAGGCTACAATTTGCAAGAGCTCACCAAAATTGAACAGTTGAAGACTGGAAAAATGTTGCCTGGTCTGATGAGTCTCGATTTCTGTTGAGACATTCAGATGTTAGAGTCAGAATTTGGCGTAAACAGAATGAGAACATGGAACCATCATGCCTTGTTACCACTGTGCAGGATGGTGGTGGTGGTGTAATGGTGTGGGGGATGTTTTCCTGGCACACTTTAGGCCCCTTAGTGCCAATTGGGCATCGTTTAAATGCCACGGCCTACCTGAGCATTGTTTCTGACCATGTCCATCCCTTTATGGCCACCATGTACCCATCCTCTGATGGCTACTTCCACCATGTCACAAAGCTCTAATCATTTCAAATTGGTTTCTTGAACATGACAATGAGTTCACTGTACTAAAATGGCCTCCACAGTCACCAGATCTCAACCCAATAGAGCATCTTTGGGATGTGGTGGAACGGGAGATTCGCATCATGGATGTGCAGCCGACAAATCTGCGGCAACTGTGTGATGCCATCATGTCAATATGGACCAAACTCCCTGAGGAATGCTTCCAGCACCTTGTCGAATCTATGCCACGAAGAATTGAGGCAGTTCTGAAGGCAAAAGGGGGTCCAACCCATTACTAGCATAGGGGTACCTAATAAAGTGGCCGGTGAGTGTGTATATATATATATATATATATATATATATATATATATATATATATATATATATATATATATAATACTATACTATATACTTGCCGAACAACCCAAGGTAGACGTACTGACCCGGAAAAGCTTAGGCCGAACTCATCAATCATATCAAATGTGATCTGTCAGGCTTTTGTTGAACATTTATTCATATATCTGTCATTCATCATTGAATTGCATTCTATGTTTTATGTTGAGATGGTTTCTGTGTCTCTTTTTAGAAAAAATAAACATTGCAACTGAAGTAATAGTTGAACACCTGGGCAGAAAGTGGCTTCACGTTGGGAGAAAACTGGGACTTCAGCAGACTCAGCTGGAAGGAATCCAGGAGAAACACAGCCGTGATCTCGAGGAACAGGTCCGGGAACTGATCCGACTGTGGATGAAGATGCGGAGAGAGAGCGCCAGGGTGGAGGAGCTCGTCCAAGCTCTCCGAGACTGCAAACAGAACCTCACCGCTGACCTCGTGGAGAAAAAGCTCCGAGAGCCTTGAACACCAGCGCACGTTTCCGGAAGCGCTTGTTATTATAAAGGGAGAGAGCTTTGGGATTGATAATGTGAATTTCTTTTTTTTAAATGCAAATGAACATTAAATCTTCTTGAATTAATTTTTGGTGCACATTAGTTAAATTAAATGATTAGGTATTACATATTAAATTATGATTATATTGCAGAAAATGAAATCTATTGAATAATGTCTTATTAGTAACACTGTTTTAGCAGTTTTTACAGAACACACTCCTCATACAACACTGTTCTTGTATTTACTGATTTAAAAGAATCTAGTTATATGACATAAATGAATAAAGGGACTGTGATGTATGATTGAATAATGTTTCTCATAGAGAGTGTCTAACACTGATTCTTCGGTCAAAAATGACAGAAAACTGTTACGTTTTGAAATGTTTAATTTTTTTGCTTCATCGGAGGGGGGTGAAACTTGGCGACTTTTGTTGTATTACCTATGTGAACACACAAAAAAATCAAGGAGATGATTCGGATATGTTAAAGGGTCGTAAAAAAAATAGTCACACTTAGCTTCTTCCCGGTCAAAAATGACCGACCATAGGAAACGAATGGGAAATACGAAAAAATAGGAAAACTCAGAGAAACTTTTGGTGGTACAAACTACAGATCAGCCACTGTGGAGAAAAAAAGTGTACAGCAATGAAGGGGTGACACTCTAAAACATCAAGAGTGCAAATAAGACACCTCCCCACACACACACACACACACACACACCCCATGACACAAACACACACACAGATAAACTGGCAAGACTGCAACAGCAAATTTTTAGGATATGCAAAATAAAATCAATAAATGAAAAAAAAAAACTCTCGCTCAAATGCACGTACACTTATTTTGTTCGATTTTTTAATTATCAAATACTGAGTAACAAAAATGTTTGCATTGTGTTCCCTTTCTAACCAAATGTTATTGTTTGATTGTAATCATAATGCAAAACCTGATACTTATCTAAAAAGATAAATAAGAAAAAGTAGTCTTTTAGAATATCTAAATATATATCTAAAAAAAATAAAAAAAAAAATAAGATAGAGAATCATGTCTAAAACAACAATAGGAATCAAAAAGTCTTTCGATGTATTTATATAGGAAGCTATAGCAGTCTACAGGCGGTTACAGGACATTTCACACATTTATACACTAGATGACGCTCTTCTCACTTGAATTTTTTTTTTTTAGGCCTGCACTCTATTTTTATGTGAAATGTTGCATTTATTGAAATAATAATAATAATAATAATAATAATTCTAATGGAAAAAATAGCTCATAAAAATTATAATAATAAGCCTCATAATTTTAAGGCTTCAGTCTTTTTTGACCGGGAGGAAGCCAAGTGTAACCCCTAAACGAAGAAGCCCAGAGGGTTAAATGATCAGAGCACATTTTGAGCCATGCACTATTGATAATAAAGCTTTTTATTGGCATTGCTGGTTCCATAAAGAACCTTTAACATCCATTGCACTAAAGGCTCTAATTGTTCTTTTAAAAACTCTTCTCTGAAAGGTTCTTTTTGGAACCCCAAATTGTTCTTGGATGCAACATGACATCATGACTTTGCGTAAACATACACGCCACTTTCAAGTCAAGTGGCGTGTTATCTATACGCATTTTGAGCTATCCGCGTGTGTGTCCCATAGACATAAAGCCTGTTTTATGCTTCTGCGTCGAATCGACGGCGTACCCCCGCAGAGCCCTCTGCGTCGCCGCGAACCCCTCTCCGACCCCTCCGCCGTAGCTCGACGTGCACCTCCAAAAAATTGTAACTACGCGTCGAGGCGACGCAGACCGCAAGGGCTGTGATTGGTCAGATTATACACCATTTCGGGAGTGTAGCTTTTCCGGTTTCCCCCTCCGTGCGCAGTTTGTTTCAACGATGTATCACGTTGAGGAACGATTAAATCACTTCTGCGATTAAACATTTGCAATAAAATAATTTGTTGTTCAACGTCGATTAGTTCCAGCTGCAACAACATTCTCTCTCTTTCGCTCGCCATTACGCGCGTTTCCATTACAGATTTGTGCAAAACTTTTGCCTTTTTTTCTAAATGTCGATAAAAAACTATTGCCAAATGACCGATGTTATGCGACTAAACGTCTTTTTTTCCATAATCATTCCAAAAATCATGGCAACGGACGTTGGTAGCCACCGCACTAGACATTATTAGGCTATTGTGACACCCTGAATGTATTGTCACAGGAATAATTATATTTTTTCTGTATGTATTTTATTTTATTTTATTGTGTTTATGATATTGTTTCAGTTACTTTTGCTTCAATTATTATGGTGAATTTGTGATGAGTGATACTCACAGTGGACAGTAGGTGGAGACAGTGTGCTGATCGGGGACTATGTGAGTAACTGAGTCGCGGGGAAGAAGCCGCCATTACAGAGCGACTCAGACTGCAGATAACAGCACAACTTTGTCTGTCTCCTTGTTTTATTAAACAGGTGGGTGAAATCAATCACCAAGGACATAAAAAAACATGATGTAATATGTTGAGACCGTGTATTCATTGTTTTGAGAGGGTTATATATTTCCTGGGTAAAGATAAGATGTTAATTAGAGACCGTGTTTTGTTTATGAAAGTTAAGTTTCACTCGCGGCCGTCCCGCGTTAGGCCTGGTATTAATATTGTCTAATATAAATGGTTAAAGGCTCCAGCACACTGAAAACCCAAACTAATGGGATGTTTATGTTGTTTAGAGCATTAAAAGAGATGTGTAAAGAAATCGCCAAGGGTTATAAGACAGAAGTATGTATTTGTAGATACATATATTTGTAATATTAACTGTTGAATGTTATATATCTTTGCATACTATATTATAGGGTTTACTGTTGATATTTGAATGTTTAATGATCTTTCAATTTAGTTTATCTGCTGTACTCTACTGTAATTCAGTACTGTAATTCAGTTTAAATGTTTTGCTCATCTATCTTAGTTACACAGTATTTAGTAGGACATATTTGCACAGACAACAGAGACTGTAACATGGTGTTGTATGTTTTAAGGGAGAGAGTATTGAGTTATTGGGGGAAAATTACTATTTGAGTATAAAAAGAAAGACACTACAAGTGTGATGCAACCTGTTTATTGGTATATTGTTTGATATAGTCACATGTAAGGTGACAAGACATTGTGACATATATATTTGTACAAGATTTAGACATTACTTTGTCATTATTGTAATAAAGCATTACAGAGCGACTCAGACTGCAGATAACAGCACAACTTTGTCTGTCTCCTTGTTTTATTAAACAGAAATAATTTACTGCAGCAACGCCAGTCGGACGACGGGCGTGCTACAGATTTTGGGGGCTCGTCCGGGATCTAGCGCCACCTGCTGGTATGCGGATCCAATTCAAATGAACCAGAGAAGGGCTGAGTGACGGGTGATCAGCGTGAGGACCACAAAGGGCAGCTCAACGGCGGCAGGAGAACCAAAGCACGGTGGTGAAAGGCTTTCCTGGCTGAGGAGTAGTGCAGTGTGGTACAAGTCAAGCGTGAACCCATCAGCAGCTGGATCGTCGACAAGATGACTTCGAGCGAGAGAAAAGCAACAGTTTGGGAAATCAAGAAAAGACTGCATCAACTCACCCATGATGAACTGATCAGCCTGATGGATTGTCTGGAGCCAACTGCAGCACCAGGAAAGCACAGGTTGGATATAACTGATGAGGAGTGTTGCTTTGAGTATATTGTTGAGTACATGAACAGTGATTGTCTGCTGGAATTAGAAGATGGAGGGTTGTCTCAGTTGTTACTGTTAAAAGACAATGTTGATGTGATAATTCAGAAACAGAATGTAAAACCAGTTTTGCATGACACTGTCCCACTTACACCACCACAACAACTTACACCCCCCACTGACACGCAGGCACAGCCGATGGAGTATAACCGGTTGGTAGACTGCTATGAAGAATTAGGGCGAAAATTAGCACAGTACAAGATTGAAGCTAATCCAAGTAAAGCAGAATCTCTTAAAAGTAGCGGTAGCTTACCTGTGAATGTAGCTGGTGAGCCCACCAGTGGAAAAAGGGAAAGTATGATCTCCCTCCGTGACCTTCAGTTACTGCCATTTCAGCACAGAGAGTTCAAAGTTCAGGGGGGGCAGATTGGTGACAGTACTTCTGATATAAGCTATACAAGTGTAACCAAGCAAATAGATGAGGGACTTGCGGCTAACCACAGTGAAAATGACATCATCAGAGGGGTCTTGAGAGTCATTAAGCCAGGAAACTTTAAGGACATGTTAGTAAACAAGGAGGGACTAACAATCCTAGAGTTAAAGAGTTTCCTCCAGTCGCATCTGAATGAGAGAAGTAGCTCTGAGCTCTTCCAGGAGTTAATGTGCGGTAAACAGAATGACAATGAAACTCCTCAACAATTCCTGTATAGACTGATTGGACTGAAACAGAAACTAATTTTCCTGTCCAAACAAGCTGTCACAGACCTGGAGTATGATGAACAAACAATACAAAATGTGTTTCTGAGGACGATTTATCAGGGCATGGGTGCAAAGTACAACCAATTACGCACTGAATTGAAACCTCTGCTTACGAATCGCCTGGTGACAGATGAGGCACTCCTGCGCCAAGTAACCCAGATAGCCAGTGACGAAAGTGAAAGACAACGTCGGTTGGGACAAGCTGCACGGCAGAGAGCGTCGAATGCTCTCAGCGCCCAGTGGGAGTCCAGCCGAGGTAAAGACTCAGATTGCAGTAGACAAAACGACCAAACCGAGACGATTCGCCGATTAAGTGCACAAATTGAAGCCCTTACCAAGACCGTTGAATCACTTGCAAAGGCGAGAACGACAGAAGGTCAGTGCAAAGTCATCGACTCCCAGCTGCAGCGAAGGCAACGTCGACGAATGTGTCCCAAATGTAGTAGCAAGGATGCTACCTCTTGCAGTCATTGCTTTGTGTGTGGTGAGGAAGGACATCGTGCGGTGGGCTGTCTAAGAAGGGAAAAGGGGTCGGGAAACGACCAGCGGCCACTGATGAGGGGCGAACAGTGACCGAGCAACCACAGCTCCAGCCTAAGGAAAGAGAAGCTTGGATGGGTAGGACACTTGATTCGCCAAATCAAAGACAAAGTTCCTGTGACCGAGTAGCCCAGCTCATTGGAAAGAA